TGTATTGTTTTGGAGGCTGTCCTGGAACTCGCTCTGTAGACCAGGCTGGCCTCAAACTCACAGAGATCCACCTGCCTCTGCCTCCCTGAGTGCTGGGATTAAAGGCATGTGCCACCAACGCCCGGCAAAGGGGTCACTTCTAATATCGCAAGAATGTAAGAATCACATGCAGGGGTGAGGTGGTCCTGAGCTCCATCCCTGGGGCCCGCATGGCAGAAGGGGAGAACGGGCTTCCACATGCTCTCCTCTAACCTGTATGCGTGCACCAGGGCCTGTGCCCGCACCCCACAAAGTATTTGCCTACAATCCAAAAAAAAAAAATCATGTAAGGTGTATTTTAAGAATGTCCGCTCTCAGCACGTGTGGTGATGGCGGTTTAGAGTCACGTGACAATACAGTCATGAGAGGCTGGAGAGATAGCTTAGCAGAGAAGAGCACTGGCTGCTCCTGCACAGAACCTGGGTTTAGTCCCCAGCACCCATAACTTCCGGGTTTAATCCCCAGCACCCATAGCTTCCGGGTTTAGTCCCCAGCACCCATAACTTCCGGGTTTAATCCCCAGCACCCATAGCTTCCGGGTTTAATCCCCAGCACCCATAACTTCCGGGTTTAATCCCCAGCACCCATAACTTCCGGGTTTAATCCCCAGCACCCATAACTTCCGGGTTTAGTCCCCAGCACCCATAACTTCCGGGTTTAATCCCCAGCACCCATAACTTCCGGGTTTAATCCCCAGCACCCATAACTTCCGGGTTTAATCCCCAGCACCCATAACTTCCGGGTTTAATCCCCAGCACCCATAACTTCCGGGTTTAGTCCCCAGCACCCATAACTTCCGGGTTTAATCCCCAGCACAATTGCCTGTAACTTCAGTTCCAGGAAATCTGACACCCTCCTGTGGCCTCTGAGTTCCAAACTATCCAGAGCTACACGGTAAGACCCTGCCTCAAATAAATAAGCAAAACAAAAGGTACAGCTAAGAAGACATTGCGGAGAGTAAAAGTCCCACACATCGCAGAGCAAGCATTTGTTATGTACCTAGACTGTTAGAGGATGCCAACCAAGCCACTCTGATCGCTAGAGCCTGGCCGTGCCTCTCACACAACGCTACCATTAGCAGTTGGGACCACCTTCCTAAACCAAGGAGAAAGGCAAGACCCAGAGTGACAGTGACACCCCGGTCACAGTGGCATGGCTCCACTCCTACACTTTAGAGTTGTAGAACACGGGTGACAACCCTGGCAATGCTGACTTGCATGAGACCCTGTCACACCCCGATCTAGATTCCTATCCTTCTTCAGACAGCAAGTCACGACTGACAACCTCAGTCCAGCCGGGCAGTGATGGTACACACCTTTAATCCCAGCTCTTGGGAGGAAGAGACAGGAGGAGGATCTCTGAGTTTGAGGCCAACCTGGTCAAAGAGAGATTTCCAGGGCTATATAGAGAAACTCTGTCTTGAAAAACCAAAAGGAAAAGAAAAGAAAATCTCAGTCTAACCTGACCTCAGCCTTGGCAGCGCTGGAACCAGGGGAAGCAGCGGTCTTCAAGGAAGCATTGGGCCTAAGCCACTGCCTCCAGCTGTCAACCGGGAAGGAGCCAGCCCCTGACCTAAGGCACCTGGTAGAGGCAGACCTCCCGGAGAGCAGCTCCAGTGTCATTGCGGTGTCACCCGACTGTATCTTCCCGCATGTCCCACCCTCCAGTCACGGCTTCCTGTTTTAGGAGACAGCGACACTGGAGAACCAGACGGAGATGGAGTCTAGGAGAATGGCAGCGCCCCGGGCTTAGCTGGGTGGCAGGAAGGCATTTCCAAGACGGCAGGCGGTTAGGTCAGCTGCTCAAGACAGACGTGTGCGAGCTGTGAGCGTACGGGAGCATGGGGGGAGAGGAGGCTCTAGGCCGAAGTCTCAGGGACTGCGGCCAGCTACAGGAGTGAGCGCAGATCAAAGGGGCAGACCACGAACCTGCCTAAGAGCCACTGAGCCACGCGAAATCCACACCGAGTGCCCACTGGCTCACCCTGAATGGCGGACAGGAGGGGTGAGGGGAGGAGCCACGGCAGAAGAGCGTGGGGTGCCTGGGCCAAACACACATCACATATGGGAACTGAACGGGGGGGGGGGGGCATGAGTGGAGTGATGAGGGTGTCGGAAATGGAGAGCAGGGAACAGGCTTGTTAGGTAGAGGGCCACGGGAACTGTGTGGAGGGAAAGGGGGTCTCCTGGGCACACCAGAGTGAGACTCGGGAGGCAGGACAGGACATGAAGGCAGCAAGGTCCGCCCTGGATGGGAACCGAAGTGGGGCCCAGCTCACGGCAGAGAGGACGGAGGGCAACGGTGTCCACAGCTTGTCTCATGCATGCGATGGTTAACGTTGCCAGCTTTAGGATCTAAAATCACCTGGGAGTGACGGAAGTTTCTAGCCTGGGTTAACTGAGGTGGGGAGGTCCAATCTGACTGGGGGGGGGAGGGTTAGCACCATTCCTCCAGACTGTATAAAAATGAGTTGAGCACCAGCATCCGTCTCTGCTTCCCGAGAGCAGACCCAATGTGACCAGCGGCCTCAAGCTCCTGCTGCCAGTGTCCCCATCCGGAAGGACTGTAAACTCAGTGGCCCAGAACAAACCCTCCCTTGCTTAAGTTGCTTCGGGCAGTACTTTGGCACAAGAAAAGTAACGAACACAGTGTGTGGGTCCCTGTGGTTGGCTCTGGGCTGGGAGCCTTCTTGGCCCCCCACAGGCCTGGTCATCCTTACTTGTGTCCTCTGTACGCCACTCTCCAGGTGCAGAGGTTGTCAGCTTAGGTGTCTGAGACCGGCCAGACCAGGTTAGCCAGTGTTGCCTGCCTGGGTCACCTTTATCCCTGCCTGGAGTTATCCCAGGAGCCCAGGCTGACCCCATGTCAACACTCACATTGCCCCTCCCCCAGGCACTTCCGGTCCATCCGGCCACACTTTCCTCCATCCCTTTGGCCCCTGTCCCACAAGTATTCCTCCTACAGCGGGGACTGTCAGCATTCCTGTGGGGCTCCTCTGCTGCCAGCAGGTCATGGGCTTGGCTTCGCATTCACACCAGAGCCAGCCAGGGTTTGGAAAAGCGGCAGTAACAGGGTGACCTTAGCACCCTTGTTGCCACTCTGCCACAGAAGCGTGTCCAGCCTGGTTGCTGCTAACAGACACTGAGCGCTCCTCTGGTTGGCGGCCAGCGGTGGCCTCCTCTCCACCCGTGCTGGCTCTTGTGTTCTCGTCCTGACCTGTCTGTATATACAGCCGGGAACACTTAGGTCAAAGACCAAACTGCCATGTCTGCTAGACCGGAAGCTTCCAGACGCTCCCAAAGGAGGCACAGAGGTGCCAAGTCGACTTGGAACTGCCCAGACTGGCACTTGGAACGAAGGCTACTGAATTGGGAGCTGCTTCTGCCCCAGCGACCGTCCATACCTGCGCATGGGTTCGCAAGGTTGGCTTTCCGAACTGGAACCCTTCCGTTCACAGGCAGCCCGGGAGGGACCAACTTTCGGGACAGACGCTTTGCGGGGGGAAATAATGAGGTTGGCATGGACACTGAGGGTCCAGCAGTTTCCACACACACCTCACAAAGCCCCGTGTCAACGGGAGAACCCCCAGTCCACACAAAACACAAGGGTCTTCCCACCAGACTTCCAGCCTGTGGCTGCGGAAGCTGCTGGGACTTTCGGCCACCACCGGGTCGGAAGGGACTATGCTGACATGAGCACTATGAGGTTGTACAGCACTATCCTTGGAACGTTACAGTCACTGTCAGAATTGGGGCAGCTTGCAGAAGACCCTCATGGTGGGGAACATCCTTCTGTATATATATGTTCCTCTTACTGGCTGATGAATAAAAGACTGTTCGGCTAATAGAGACAGGGAGATAGGAGATGAGAATTCTGGGAAAGGTAGGCAGAAAGAGACACCATGTAGCCGCCAAAGGAGAAACAGGTCCGGGCATTCTCCAATAAGCAGAAACCACGTGGAAATACGTAGATTTATAGAAATGGGCTAGTAATTAAGACAGAGCTAGCTAATAAGAGGCCCTAGCCATGGACTAACAGTTTTACAATATAGCATCTGTGAATTCTTTTGGGGTTGAGGGCAACAGGACTGGGCTGGACAATAACCTGCAACTACAAAATGGTACTCCACCCCCCTCACCCGGCTCCTCAAGGACAACTGTACACGAACTTGTGGTCTCAGGACTTGCTATAGTATACACAGCTCGAGGGTTGGCAGAGGGTGGGAAGTCATCATCTATGCCCGTGGTGTGGCTACCTTGCAGTCACCCATGTTCTGTAGGTTAACCCAGGGAATTGGACTTTGGTGGAGTTGTTCTACGGTTTTTCACCGGTGCCCTATGAGGTGGTGGACACTTGTTTACGTCTCCCCAGAAAGTGTCCCCACAAAGATGGTGACAACATTCTCTGCCTGCAGGTAGGTCGATTCAGATCCAAATCCTCATCCCGCCCTATTCTCGTCATTCGTGAGGCAATCTCCCAGGTTCTCGGTGAAATGAGAGTACCACACCTCAGTGGAAGGGTGCTGCTTTGAGTCTCCTTTCTACAGCATGCGTTTAAAGTCAGCCCCGACGTTTACAGACGGGGTTTCTCTGTATAACAGCTCTGGCTGTCCTGGAACTCACTCTGTAGACCAGGCTGGCCTCGAACTCAGAGATGCACCTGCTTCTGCTCCCAAGTGCTGGGACCGAAGGTGTGTGCCACCAGTGCCTGTCCATCTTCATTCTTAAATTTAAACCAATACAACTATGGGATAAATTTAAATGTAGTTCTTTAAGTACTTTTTTTCCCTGAAATACATGCCCAGGATGGCCTGTAACTCCTCAGCTCAAACCATGATGCTCTCCAACCCCACCCGAGGGTGCAGCATGGAAACACATCCACCTTACCTGGGGAGGCAGCCTGCCACTGCTGGGATGCACTTTTTTTTTTAAATGAAAGGAAAAGGCAGACACAGAAAGAAATCACAAAAACTGCATTACTTTATTGCACCAAGATCTTGGCAATATCTGGGGGCTCCTGAAGAGGAAATGGAGAGTGTGGGGACCCCTGTACACACAGATGCAGCCACACGAGGGTGTAGGATGCGAACAGCCCCCTAGCGGCAGGCAGGTGAGCAAGAACAGAAACACCAGGGAGGTGGCCCTCTGTACATCTACTGCCAAGCACAAAGTTCAAACTGATGTGATTCGGCCAACCAAATGGCCACTTTTAGAAAGGTTTCAGTTATTCATGTCAGTACATGTCACCTAGACCTTTGATGGTTTTCCGGGCCCCAGTCTATCCCTAGCCCGTTTCTAATGACTTCTAAGGAAGGAAAGGACTTGCCTTCACTGGCAGCAAGACACGCTGCCAGAAGTCAGTATGTCAGTTGGGGGTGGGGGTGGGGCTGGGGGGACCGTGACTACCCAAGAGGCAGCGGAAGAGATTCTGCAGTGGATACTCTAGAAGACAAAGGAAGGAACCAATGCAGAGGAGACACGGGGGACAGGTCAATTCTGTGCTGGCAGCTTCTACACAACTAGAGAACGTCATAGAAAATGACAAATGCGGCCAGGAAGCAACTGATACAGGAGCAAATGACAAGACCTCCAGTGAGACCAATCCCTGCCCTTGAAGGTGCCTGCCTCCCTCCGAGACATGGAGCCCACACCACTCCTGGACACGACATCCAGAGCCCGGCCCCCACACAACTGATCACATTCGTCTGGAAGACTCAGTCAGCAGACCCACCATGGAGCTGCTGCTGCTCCCTCCCTTTAGAAACGAAGGGAGGGACACAAACACCCACGTGGAAACAAGACCTTACCTCCCCACACGGAGAACAAAACTCTTTTCCACATCTGCAGCAAATGAGGCCCTGGTGGGGCAGCTGGGTAAAATGCCACACGTGGAATTAACAAGGCAGCCCCTCCCCTTCCAAGAAGCCCAGACTGAGGAGGCCAGCCCAGAGCAGCCTAGGACTCTGGGAAAGAAGAGACGCGCCTCATGAGGAAGAACCTTCTGGTACCTTCCATTTCTGGGTGCTGTCTTCCCTTGGAAATACCACCCTCACTAAGGAGTCTTGTTTGTTAAATCCTAAGTCCGAAGGGGCTTCTTGAGCAAGACAGGAAAGGACTCTGCGAGTCGTACAATCATATCAGTTTCAAAGCACTCACAAAATTGAGCAAATGAAGCCAGTATTTGCATATCAGGGGAACATATTGCTACTGGAAGCCACAGGCCTGGTCAAAAATAAATGTTTTATCGTAAGTAGTAAAATAACGGAGAATTCATCCCCAAAGACCACCACCTTGACAGAGACCAGCAGGTTAGTGCAGACGCAGTAGAAGCTCGTCAAAGTCACCTGGGCAGGGGCAACAGCCTTAGAAGCAGAGGCACGGAGTTCAAGGCTCTCCTGTGTCTGCAGCTGCTGGTTTCTAGAAGGTGGGTGTGGAGTCCTTTCGAGGAGATGCACTTGGTGGTGGGGGGCCACGCAGTCACCGGGGGTCCTCCTCACTGCAGCTGACAGTCAGTCATACAGAGGCCTCTGAGGAGAGGGTCACAAGACAGCTCCAGCAGGAGAGCAGAGGAGGGCTCACCAGAAGAGGCACTAACATGCCGCCATCCTGAGTGAAGGGCATGCTGGGAGATGCTGGTCCCAGTCCCTTGTCTCGACAGACCGCGACCAGGAACAGAGGGGTTTTCCTACTAGACCCCAGGGTCTATGAGGATGTCGCCTAGGTTACTGTCAGCATGACACCACAGGCCAGGCTTTCTCTTGTGAGGTTCATTATGAATGCCACCAGAGGCCCTGAGCTGAGGCCCCAGGGCGTCTACACTGGATCGTCTGTGAAGCGGCACCAGGAGCCTTCGCCATGGCAGGTTCACAGTGCATGGGGGCTGCACACGGTCGCTCCTCAGATCCGAGAGGACAGCTCTGGGGCACAGACGCACAGGCACACTGGTCTTCCTGGTGAGAAGAGAGACCATGACAATCCATGACATCCCTGGGTCAGTCACACCTACCAGACACACACCATCAATTCATGCACCAGACATGGGAGACATTTACAAAACACATCGTACATATACATCACATGCATCATAGACAGACACATACACCAGACAGAACACACATACCGAATCCACAAACACCATACATGCCACATACATACATACATCTCACACCATGGACACAAAGGGCAAACACCACAGATAAACACATACACCACAGACTACACATGCCACACCCACACACACCCCAGACACACAGACACACACACCACAGACTACACATGCCACACACACACACACACCCCAGACACACACACCACAGACTACACATGCCACACACACACACACACCCCAGACACACAGACACACACACCACAGACTACACATGCCACACACACACCCACCACAGACAGACGCAGACCACAGAGCACCACACACAGCAGACAGACACACAGCCCACAGCCGCGCTGACCTCTGACAAGCGTGGCAAGTTCAGCGGCGATAGCTGAGGCTGGCGACCTTAGCAGGATGAGTCACAGACCAGAAGTTCCGTCTACTCTGGAGCTTCTGGAAGGCATTGAAGTTTCTCTTCTTTTCTTTCTTGAACTTTTTAATTTTCTTTTCCTACATTAAGAATCACGGTGTCACAGTTGCCAGAGAGGGCTCCTCCAAGCCTTGCGGGCTTCTCGCTGCATACATGGCACTTGCCTCCCAGACACAGGTGCAGTTGCCATGCATGGACAGTCCCCTCTGAGGAGGCTCCTGCCACCCTCACCTTCCTGGGGAAGAGACCCATGCCCGCCCAGGTGCCTGCCGGATGCACAGGAGAAACAGCCCAGCGTTAGGGAGCCCAGGAGGCTGACTCCAGCCTGACCTCAACTGCTCTGTGTGCAGCTGCATCACAAAATGCTTTCCAGCTGAGTCACCCCCACCTGCTGCCCACGCCTATGGTCACAGTCGTACCACACATACCTTCCCTCGATCGAACTCTTCATCCCAGTCATCAAGCACAGTCTGGGTCCGGGCCGAACGGCTGTCTTTGATGGCATCCTGACTGACCGCGGAAGGCTCACCGTCCCAGGTCAAAACTGTACAAGACACGTTCTATCAGCGCCCATGGGTCTCAGTCACCCTGCAGGGCTCTGACTGCCCCTTACAGAAGGAACACGACGGGGAGGATATGTAACGCATGGGTGTGATCACTGTGAGCTCCAATTCCAACTGCAAACCTCCTCTCTCCAACCTGTGCGCTCCCCTCTTGTTCACGCTCCACGTCTGCCGTGTAAAACACGGCCAGAGTCGGGAGTGCCAACACCAGAGCTGGAGGCCATCGCCCCCTTGTCCTTCCGCACTGGCCCTGGGACATTCTGCTCAGCTGGCCCCGGGTTATGCTCCCTACTTTGTCCTGCTCTTGGGTCTCCGATCTTCTGGGTCCATGGACAGAATCTGCCTTTCTGCCACCACAGGGGTCCCGTTAAAGCATATCTAATAACTGTTTGAGTTTCTAAACCGCGGTAGTGTGGTCTCCACGGCTCAGAGCACACCGGAACCCCCACCCCACCCCACCCCACCCCACCGAGTCAGGCCTAGGAAGGGAAAGCCCCGCTCACATCTGTACCTTTTTTCCCATAAGCCTTGTCAGACGAGTCCCGGAGCAGCTCCTGGACCACATCAGGTTCTTGATCTCTGTTCCAGGCAACAAGAGGCGCTTGTCCCAGGCCTGCGATCAGAGGACACACTGAAACCAAGTCACTGAGGAAAGACTCACATCCTTGTAATGGCACCGCAGAATGTGCCGTCAACAGACGCTCACTTCCTAGTGACAATCCTACCCCACTGTCCAAGTCCATTCGTGAGAAAACAACAAAAAGTCAAAACCAAGACCCGTCCTCAGTCTGACAAAGAAGTGACTAGCTCGAAGTGGGACCGACCTAGCCAGCCACAAAGGGCCTGCTGCAGCTGAGACCTTCAAGTCCCTGGGCGCCGGCCTCCCTGGGAAGAGTGGGACCACATCACCCTTTCTCTGGCTGACTGACCGCATGTGAGCAGCTCTGCTCCGTGAGGAGCCCCTCATGAGCTGCACTATAGGCCCAGAAATGCAAGGTGCATGGAGCCCAGACTAGAGCCGGCTGCCCACCCGCCCGCCCGCCCGCCCCCCTCCTGGACTATATGCTCACTCATGCCACTGCGCCTAGCCACGTGCCTACTCTAAGATGACTGTCTAGGTGTTGTCTAGTGGCAGAAAGCTGAGCTGACTGGTGACTAGTGCTCCCAGTACCCTGCCCATGAGGACCAGTAAGCTGCCACCTCCGTGGCTATCAGCAGGAGTCCTCACCCAGGCGGTCACTAGGAAGATGGCCGTTCACTCTCAGCTCGGGGGCTGCGGTGACACCGGGCCTCGGGCTCCCCTGGCCTTCTGGGTGCTTGTTCTCTCCTTCCTCCTGCTGCGGCTCGTGCATTCTCCTCCTCCTCTTCTTCTTCCTCTCCAAGTCTGTTCTGACCTCAGGCTCACAGTGGTCTGCAGGGGAGCAGCTGTGGGGAGCCAGAGGAGGGCACGTCAGTCCTCCAGATACAGGACAGGCAGGAGTGACGCTCCATAAGGCTGTGTGACAGCTCAGCTATTAATGGCGCTTGGCACCAAGCCTGCGGACCTCAGTCTGATTCCTCAAGTTGTCCAGCACGCATGTGCCCATCATAGTGTGCAAGCACGCTCACGTGCACACACGCACACACACACGCGCGCACACACACACACACACACACGTAAGCAAATAAATAGAACATTCTTTAAAAAGCTGGTGCGATGGCTCAGTGGGGTAAATGTGCTTGCCATCAAGGCTGACAACTTGAGTTTGATTCCCAGAACCTACACGGTGGAAGGAAATAACCCTGCAAGCTGTCTTCTGATCTCTACACGCATGCACGCTCATAAACCGAAAGGGAAAAATAAAGGAATCAGAAGGAAAGCAGGGCTAGAGTTGGCTCAGCGCTTAAGAACGCCGGTTGCTTTTCCAAGCACACGCATGGCGGATCAGACCGGCCTGTAACTCCAGCTCCAGGGGATCTGACACCCTCACACCAGTGCACAGAAACAGACAGCTTCCCCCCACATTCCTGAGACTGCTGGCAGTGTTCTCTGAATGGGGATTCACGGCACACTGAGTTGAGGAGTCGGCTGTGCTGTGAGGCTTGCTGTCCAGAGCGGCATGGCCAGCATGACACTAGAGACACCACAGGTCCCTGCTGCAACCTCATCTAAACGCACAGGTGGTCCCAGGCCACCTGACCCTGTGTTCTTGGCCTTTCTTATGCACAGTGACAGCCATGGCCTAGATGTGGCTGTCCTCTTCCACTCTGTGGGGAACTGGCACAAACTAACACAGGACACATTTCACCCCACGACAAGGCCAGCACTGTACTGTTAGTCCACACCACCTGGGAAGGCTATGGGCACATCACAGCCATGTTCTTACCTATGCTGTAGAAGGTTCTGGGACAGGGTGACTTCCTGGCTAAGTCCTTCTGATCTCTTCCTCTTCCTCTTCTTCCTGATGCTCACATGATGACTGTCCAGGACGTGACTCACTTGATGGCCATTTACCTGGGGATGTGCGCCCTCTTCCTTCTGGCCCCTGGGACTCCAAGGCTGGTCCTGAGACGGGCCTTCCTGCTGGGGAGCCGTGGAAGCCACATCCTCCAGACACTCCTTCCTCCTCCTCCTCCTCCTCTTCCTGCGTGCTGCTGCTGCTGCTGCAGGTGCTCCCCCGAGGCACTGTGGGAGGGGTGTATCCATGCCCAGTCTCTGGGGATCTCCGCTGGGGGTCTTCTTCCTCTTCCTGGAGGGGCTGTGCGGGGCCTCGGCGGCCTCTGGCAGCTGGTGTAAGTGGGACACGACGTGCCCATTGACCTGAGGCAGGGGCATCCAGGCAGAGGAGCGGCAGCTCTGTGGCTCTGATGTCCCTAAGGGCTTGGCGCTACTACTGGACAGTGATGCAGAGTGGGGGTGGATGGAATGCTTCAGGAGGGTGGATGGTCGGGGAGCGGGTGTAACAGCCCTGTAGACGGGAGGGGGTACAGGAGAGTCACGTCACGTAGAACATCTGCACAAGTCATCTTGGTGCCAACCCTCACCCCACCTCCCTTTACACCTTAGTTTGGGGGGTGAGGTAGGGTCCGAGTCCAGTTCTCTCTATGTAACTGGGGCTGGCCTAGAACTGGCTATGCAGACCCAGCTGGCCTCGAACTCAAGAGATCGACTTGTCCCCGCCTCCTGAGTGCCTGAGGCAAATAAAGGTGAGCACCACCACGCCTGGCTCACCCTAGAATTTTTAAAAGATTTTTTATGCACGAGTGCTCTATTTGCATGTATGCCCGCATGACAGAGGAGGACAGAGGAGGAGACAGAACACGCATCAGATCCCACTAGAGATGGCTGGGAGCCACCATGTAGTTGCTAGAACTGAACTCAGGACCTCTGGAAGAGCAGCCAGGGCTCTTACCTGCTAAACCATCTCTCCAATTCTCACCCTAGAATTTTAAAAGGTTATTTTGTCTCTGTAATTCTTAGACACACAAACAAATTCCACGGTTTTTGAAGGCAGACTGACAAAATTCAGACCTAAAATCAAAGTTAATAAAAGCAATACATATCTCAGTTTCTTGTTACAAAGTTTTTTTTGGTAGTGCTGAAAATTGAACCTTGGGCATGCCAAGCAAGCACTGTACCATTGGGCTACACCTCCAGCACAGAGATGAGTATTTTTTTTAATCTAGACATGGTGGTCCATACCTACAATCATAGCACTTAGGAGGCACAGGCAGGAAGATCAGGCAGTCAAGGCCAGCCCTTACCAGTTAGTGAGTTGAAGGGCAGCTGGTGACACTTGACAGACTGTCTTCAACAGACTAACAATAAAAATGCCAACACTTGCTTGGGATCCCAGAGCTTGGGAATTGAGAGGCTGGAGGATCAGAAGTTTAAGGCCATGCTCCAACACACATCAAACTTGAGTCCTGCAAGGACTACAACAAAACGAGCATGACCAGCTGGGCACCCAACATAAGCCTCAGTCACAGCACTTGGGAGGTGGAGACAGGTGAGTCCCTGACCAGTGAGACCCTGTCTCAAAACCCAAAACCCGCCCTTTACACAACAAAAACTAAAAGCAAAACAAAGGAACCAAATCCTAAGGTTTCAAATTTCCAACTCAAATGTGTGAAGAGGTGAAATAAACAAAACCTCCTGTCTAGATAAATCCTCCAATCTCCAGAGGCTACAAAGGTTCCCCTCGGGGACCGAGCATCGTAACAACAGCAACACGAGCCACGCACTGTCCACAGTTATGGAGCCTGGGAACTAATTTCCCAGAGGCCCCAGAGGAGTGAGGCACCGCTGAGCACACGAGGCACACCTGTGTGGGCACCGCAAAGGGTAGCGGATTTATGGAGCCTGCGTTTTCCATTATCCAATCCAGAAGCCTCTAGCTGTACTGCTCATACCCGTGTCACTCCAGGTGTGCACTAGAGCTTTAAACATTTGCTCTGGGCTGGAGGGATGGCTCAGCAGTTAAGAGCACTTGCTGCTCTCATAGGTTAAGTTTCCAGCACCCACATGGTGGCTCACACTCACCTGGAACTCCAGTCTGTCTTCTGACCTGTGGGCACCAGGCACACACGCGGTCACAGACATGTATGCAGACAAACATTCATACACATAAATCAAAAATAATCAAACTGTTTATGCAAGTGTGGTGGTGCACGGCTTTGACCCCAGCACTCAGGAGGCGGGCCAGCCTGGTCTACACAGAAAAACTGTGTCTCAAACAAAATCATGAAAGGAACGACAACTCCCACCAATGTCTCAACATTTAAGAACATGCCGAAATGTCATGCTAGAGACAGGATGCATGCACATTCATGCTGGAGGTGGAGGCAGCAGCAGGGATGTCACTGTCACAGCATCCTGGGATTGGAGGAGGCCAGCAGTGCCTTCTCTTCCTTCGTATCCCCCAGCTGCCAAAGCATCTGGGTCCCTATGAACCCAGATAACCATGTATCTTCTTAGCTGCCACCCAGCAGCACTCCCGGGGGGACACAAGCACCATGTGTCCCAGCACCTCACTGTCACCTCTGGATGAGATGAAAAGGCTCCGAAGAACCAGTCTCCCCGCTCCAGGCCCGGCGTGCAGCCCGGAACCTCAGAAGCACTGTTGGAGACCAAGTCACAACCCTGGCGGGAAAGATGCCCCTGCCGGGGTTCATGTGCCTCTAGACTCACACAGCGTCTGACTTCTTGAGTGGTACAAGTGAGGACATGCCAGCACTCCAGGTCACCACGTGCTGCAGCAGGCAGGGGAACACTAAAGACTATGGAGATTAAACCAACCCTGACCAACTGAGGTCCTTTACCAGACAGGGACGGGCAAGGGAGCCTCTGTCCTCGATGACCGTGGCTCTCCACCAGTCAAGTACACATAAGCACAGCAGGGAAGGAGCCGGCACCCCGGGAGCCGTGCCCAAGCTCACCTGGTTTGACCGACAGGCCCAGTGGAGGCAACGACGGGGTGGGTGGCTTTCATGGGGTAGGTGAGGTCGGAGAGTGCTGAGGGGGGAGGTGAACGGGTGTCATTGCCGGTCGCCCTCCGTAGGGTGCTGGCCTGCAGTTATTGACATAAATAAAAACTTGGTGGTCTAAAAAAGGTTTCCGTAAGGGAAGAGGGAAAATAAAATTGAAAAATAAATAAAAAATAAAACAAAAGAGCCCAGAAGGATGAATAAAGGGTCAGAAGGGAAAAAAACAGGGAGGGGTAGGTGGAGAGAGGGACGGCAGGAGAAGAACCAGAGTGTTGTTGGTTAGAAATAAAAAGGAGAAAGGAAGACACTTTAACAAGCATCCCAGCACCGCCCCAGCTCACTCACCGCCCACACCCGCCAGCCCCACTGTGTGCCCCGTCCTCCCCGACTCAGCCGTCCTCCTGACCCTGAGCAGCCTGGTAGCCCACAGTCTTCCTCTGCGGCTCAACGAGCAGGCTCCATTTATAGGAAACCGGCTAGTACCCTTAGCCTAGCCTCTACCAGCAGCCTGAGATGCTGAGTAACTGTCGTCCCCTCAGAACCCTCCACCCTACACAGCCCCTTCTCAACCAGCAAATTGTGGGGACCCCCCCCCCCGCAGGCATTCTGGCCCTCAGGACTTAAGAGCGAAGGAGGCCATGGTCCTCCGTGATTTCCTGTCTTCCTATCCTCACATCAAGTCCCAAGGCAGTTCCAGAGAGGAGACCCCCACAGACCCACCTTCTTGGCCGACAGGGCCAGTTTTTTGGCTGGTGGGGGAGACATGAGGCTTGTGGGCTCGGTGGTGGTGCTGCTCAGGGCAGGGGACTTCAGCTTCGCTGTCTTGGGATCTACTCCATTCAGCAGCGCTTTGGAATGGCCGGCGGTGGGACAGTCTGTTCCCTGAGAATCACACAGATGTGCAGCTTTGCCCTCCGGGCTGTGCGGCACCTTGGCAGGGTCACTGCTGGCAGAGTGCTCAGGGCTCGAGCCGCTCGAAGCCCCCTTCTCCAGGTCCACACCATTGCCTTCCCCCTTCAGCCTGTGCCCATTGGCAAAGGCTTTGGCCAGGAGCTTTGGTGAGGTAGAGAAGATGGTATCCCTGCTTGCCCAGGAGCCAGGCCGCTGGTTTCTGCATTCGCTGGTCCCAGGGGAGCCCTGAGAAGTGGTGGGGGACGCAGTGAGGGACTGCGGGGGAGCTGGCTTCTTCACCTTCTTTCCAGGCTCATCCAGAATGGTGGGCATGTGTATGGGTGTTGGGGTGAGTCTTGGGGAAGGGGAGCCGGCAGGTGACTTTGCAGGAACACAACCATTCTGTAACTTCAGGCCTGGAACGGAGCCATTCCTGGACACAGGCACACCGACCTCCTCAGGGGACTGCAGTTTCTTCATCATCACAGAGTCTTGTCGCTAAAGAGCAAGAAAGGAAGTCATCAGAGCCCAAGGGAGCACTGACCCGGGAACACGGTCAAGCCAAAGCAGGCATCCCAATCAGGGGAAGCTTCTGGGAGCACACTGGGTTCTGGCTACTGGTACAGACTTTTGGTGTCTCGGGACTTGAACACAAAACAGACCGCACTCAGTGAAAGCCACAGGGCTTCAGCAAGATTTGAATGTAACAAAGGCCCATCACGTAGACGCCGGACCCCCAGGTTTCCTTGCAGCCACTTCATTGTGCTCAAGCTGACCCCTCCTCACAGGGCACGGCCTCAAAGTCGCCAGTGTCTCTCGGCAGCTGTGCATCTCTTGATGGCTTACACAGACTTGCGTCATTTCCTATGCCATGACTAAACTAAGCAAACCAACAAAACTGATAGTTTAGAGCTATTTTTAAAAGCTCAAGAGGTCAATCTAAAACTTCTGGAAGTCAATAGGAGCAAGTTTTGAGGACTGGAGAGATGGCTCAGTGGTTAAGAGCACTGGCTGCTCTTTTAGAAGACCTGGGTTCAACTCCCAGTATACACAGCTGGTTAACTATCTGTAACTCCAGTTCCAAGGAATGCAACGCCTTCTTCTGGGCTCTGTGAGCACCACACGTACATGGTGCAGAGAGATATATGCAGGCAAAACACCCATGCACAGAAAATAAAAACATATCTTTAAAAAAGGGAGCCATTTTCTTCTGCTGAGCCTGCCCATCTCAAAGATCTGAGGCCCACAATGCACCACGGCACGTCTACAGAGGGGTTTCTGTCACTGCCCTTGGTTGAAAATCTAAACAGAGCGGCCCCCATCTCCCCTGCAGCCACACACATCACTGAAGCAGTCCTGCACTCTGCAGCCGTCTCCAAATCAAAATCTGCTTTCTGACACGCATTACTCAAAACATAGAAACATCCCTGCCACATCCTAAGACCAAGGCCATATGCAGACAATCCACTGCTCATAACATTTCATGGCAGACACTTCCTGCCTGAGCACACACCTGCCTGCGTCTCTCTTCTGTCACCACAGTCCTTGCAGCTCAGGCAAGGCCTCAGTCGATACATTAAAAAAATAAAAACATAAGAAAATAAAACCAAAAGATTGTACCCCTTTCTGTACTTAGCAGCCACGCTAATAAGTTACCAGAAACGGGATTGCTGGGCCTTGGATTACCTTATGAACGTCAACACATGTGGTCAAACTGGATTTTCTCCTTACTGGGAAGGCACACATATTTCTACATGCTGACATGGCAGTCCTTGGCTCTGCTCACTCTACCACCCTACCCGCCATAGCAAACACTGCAAACATGAGCTTCCTTGCGCCTGGTACAGTTGAGCGTGTGTGCTGGGGGGGGGGGTGGGGCGGGGGCGGGGATACTGGTGTTGGAACCCAGGGCTTCACCCAGTCTAAGTATACACTGACCACCAATCAATACCTCTCGAAGCCCCTTATTGCAAACATTTAAAAAAATTTACTGTTTTTTTTTTTTTTTGGTTGTTGTTATTTGTTTCGGATTTTTGAGACAGGGTTTCTCGGTGTAACTGCCCTGGGTGTCCTGGAACTCGAACTGTAGACTAGGCTGGCCTCGAACTCAGCTCCTCCTGAGTGCTAGGACTAAAGGCATGCGCTGCTACCACCTGGCCATTTTTACTTTGTTTTATATTTATTTTATTTTGCCTACAAAACTTTACGTTTTACTTTAGCCAATTGCTACTTTTCCTACCAATTCAAAAGTTACAAAGCCTTCTTTCAAAGGTTTAATTGCTCCTATATTTTACAGTAACTTACTTTGACAAAGACTGTTTCCTGACAGGAACACGTCTCTTGGTGAAAAGATGCTGGGTGTGACAGCTCACATCTATTATCTCTATAACCCCAGCGCCCAGCAGGCAGAGGCAGAAAGAGCACATCAAATTCAAGGGCAGCCCGGGCTAGAGTAACACGTGATTCTCTTTCCTCCAAAGGCTCTTTACGAGTGCAGTATGGGAAGATGGCGCTGAACTGGGTCCCGCAAGTAAAGCATGGCCGTGCCCGCCCGCGCTTCTCAAGCTCGCGCTTGCTCCTACAACAGGGGCGGCACCTCTGCAAGTGAGGCTTCCCAAAGAGCTGCCACCACTTCCAACTCTGCAGCTAAATCGTGTGGGTTAGAATCTAGAGGTCCACAGATGACTAAGTTTCCTTGTTGTGTACGTATACGGGTATATGTTTGTGTATATAAACATACCTATGTTTCTATTCTGAACCATTTGAATAAACTACGGTCATCGCATCCCTTTACCCATAGGTATGTCTGTGTCTAGCACCAAGGAAGTGTAAAATACACAAGGTCGTAACTAACACCAGGATACCAGCTTTAACAGAAAACACAGTGGGCGTTTCTCTGGGAGTCTGTCCAGCAGCTGAGTCCTACAGTCCCATCCTTCCCTTCCCAAGGCAACTGCTAGCCACAGCTCTAAGTTCCTCCCGCCACGGCAAGGTCACCCAGGAGACCCCAACCCTCTGAAGCACTCAAAGCAGGGGCCAGAAGGGCAGCCCAGCCAGCTCTGCCACTTACACAGTACCTTTGCCATCAGCGGGGAGGAAACCACCCCATTGCCAGGGCTCTTCTTGGGGTGATCTGGGATGACACTGGGACGGCTAGGAAGAGTGGAACCCACCCTGCAGACCGGGCCCTCAGGACTTTTCTTAGAGCCTGGGATTCTGCAGAGGAAAAAGAGATTGGGATTTCCCCACTTGTGCCAAGAATGCAAAACCAAGGAGAGCGCTAGTGTCCTGACAGGCTTCTAGGGACCGCCCTGTCCTCTGCACCCTGAAGGCGGGGCAGAAGCCTCGGACATCTGCATGAGAGGACACAGAGTCCTTCTAGAGCAGATCCACAAGGAGCCAGGAAACCTAAGCCCCAAATCTGCCACCCAGACTCAGCAGGGTGGCACCAAGTGACAAGAACGCCTCGGGGACAGCAGCCTCTGCTGGTGGCTTCCTAAGACCTGTTGCATGACCACCCCCAATGTGAGGTGGGTCTCTTCACCAGAGGAGGCTGCCCAGGCTGTTGCCATACCAGGGCAAAGGCCTCGAAAGGCAGCCCACTGCTGCAGGCAGGCAAAGCCCTTCCCAGCACACAAGCTCCTTACGCGTGCCTGGGGATGGTCTGCCCGAGCAGCTCCCCTCCAGCAAGTTCCCAGGAGCGTATAGACAGGACAGGGCTGCAGAGAACCCCTGGCTCAGGCAGAGCACGCTGTGGGCACACACAATTCTAGGGAGGCGGGAGGCTCCTCACCGCAGGTAGAAGAGCACGTAGGCCTGCTGATTCAGAACCACCTTGACGTTGCTGGAATGGACCAAGGAGTCATTCATCTGGTACCACTGTCCGTTGCTAGCCTGAGCAGAGAGGGAGAGGGTGGTTACAGAAAACAGCCATCGACAGACTGGCCCCAGCCACACCACAGCCATCGACACACTGGCCCCAGCCACACCCTCTTCAATTTGGAGGTAGAGGCTCACTACATGTTTTCAGCTGAGCTCAGACTCTAGGTCTCCCAGAAAATTGGAATTACAAAGGCATGGTTTACCATACCCACTTGTGGACCTTAAGAAACTCCTAAAATTCACGTTGATTTACTCATTTGCTGGGGAGGAGGGCAGGCGCATGTGCCGCAATGCAAGTGTGGAGGTCAGAGGACAAATTAAAGGTGTCAAATCTGCTCCTTCACTCTGTGGGACTCGCACGGAACTCAGGTGGTGAGCAGCTTGGCAGTGAGCATTTTCGCCTGCTGAGCCGTTTTGCTGGCCCCGGGACAGCGGTGGAAAACATCTTTTGTATACATGTGTGGAAAGGAGGAACAAAGAACAAATGCAAAGCACTGCTGTCTCCCAGAAAAAACAAAAACAAAAACTGCAGCGGACTCCTTAGACTTTACGGGCGCAGGCCACCTGCCCCAGACGCAGCACAGACTCACCCGCGCAACAGCTGAGCCCAGCAGCCAGGCCAGCACTCACCTTCACGTAGCAGTAGTAGTGCCCAGCGTGGCAGCTGTAGCCTGAGTGTACCAGGACAGCATAGAGCCCATACATGACGGGGTCACCACTGCTCTGCGACATGTATGGGCGTATGTTCAGGAACTCAGGATAGCCAACATCCTATTTAAAAAAGGAAAGCTAAGTGACATGTTCTTAGGAGAGCAAGGGTCACATACACCCATGATCTCAGAAATGCTTGCTTTCATCAATAAGTGCCCTAGGATAAACTCCAACTCACTATGTCAGGCTGGCAACTTGCAACCTTTCCCATCTCCATCTCTCAGGTGCTGGGATTACAGGGATGTGTCCCGGACCCCGCTTTTCCTATGTCTGTCTATGACAAAATAAATAAAAATCTCATAAACTAATGGGGACGTCCTTCTGTATATATGTTTCTCTTATTGGCTGATGAATAAAACACTGATTGGCCAATAGCCAGGCAAGAGGCATAGGCGGGGCGACCAGATGAGGAGAAGGCTGGGGAGAGGAGGCAGAGAGGAGCTACAGAGAGACGCCATGCTGCCCAAAGAGTAACATGCTGGGTTACGGGTAAGCCACAGCCTTGTGGCAATGCACAGATTCATAGAAAGGGTTAATAATTAAGACAGAGCTAGTCAATAAGAAGCCTGAGCCATCGGCCAAACATTTATAATCAATCTAAGTCTTTGTGTGCCTATTTGGGGCAAAGCAGCTGTGGGACCGGGCGGGACAGAATCCTCCATCTTCAATAAACCAGTATGTCCACAGTGGACTCATAGCCCTGATTCAGCCTTGTTACAATACAGACTCTTCAGATTCTGACAGACCAATGGCTCACACACGGGAGTCCTCTCAACTACTGCCCAGAAGGGCTCACAGGAGACCTAGGCTCCTCAGGACGCAGACACAGCACTTTATTCCCCAATTGTGTGCACGTCCAGCTCAGGAGGATTTTGCTTCGTTCTTTTCATTACGTTTCATCTATGTGGCTGTGAGCATGTACACGGCACGGCACTCCTGTGGAGGCCGGAGGACGAGTTTCAGAAGTCAGCTCTCTTTATACCCAACAGGCTCCAGGGATCGCGCCCAGGTCATCGGGCTTGGTGGTCGATGCCTTTACACCCTGGACCATCTCACCACCCTAGAGGACTATAGTAAGTCCTCGGAGAGTCAAGACTTGGTTCAGCTTCCAAAGCTGGGAGGTGCTGGTGTGATCTTTAATTCCAGCACCTGGGAGGCAGAGGGCAGGTGATCTCTGTGAGTTTGAGGCCAGCCAGGGCTACAAAGAAGCCCTGTCTCAAAACAAAACAACAACGACGACAACAACAACAAAAAACAAACAAACAAAAAATACCCAAGTATGTCTAAGGGGACTGCAGAGATGGCTCAGCAGTTAAGAGCACTGGCTGCTCTTGCAGAGGACCCAGGTTCAATTCCCAGCACCCACATGACAGCTAACAAATGTCTGTAACTCCAGTTCCAGAGAAATCTAACACCGCTTCTGGCCTCTGAGGGCACTAGGCTTATAAGTGATGCACAGATAAACATGGAAGCAAAACACTCACACACATAAAATAGAAATTTTAAAGACAGAAATGCAAATTCCTAAGGCCTCCCCTTATGAAGAGCAGCCTGGATGTCAGCCGGGGAGGCACTCACCTTGGTGATCTTGCCCCCGCTGAAGTTGGCAAAGCGCTTGAGTGACAGAGTTAGGACATTGGATGTTCTATGGATGGTGAAGCGCTTGCTGGCTGGAACCTTCTTCTTACACCTAAGAGAAGGGAAAAGCTGCTGGTGTGCTCGGCAGGTGTGACAGGAAGGCCTGTGCCTGCCAGTATCTGAACCAAAAACCCACGTGCTCTAAGTTAAGCAGCCCCAAGTCCCCAGGCAAGAAAAGAAGACCCCCGTGACCAGGAGCCTAGGCGATAGGCGCGAAAGACTGAAATGGGGAAGAAACGCAGCGTCAGTGTGGCCACACAGGAAGGAGGTGGGAGCACAACAGAGACAAGTGAGAAAGGGGGAAACTGAGGCCAGGGGAAGCAGATGTAAAGAGGGATAAAAGCAAGCAAGCAAACAAACAAACAAACAACTACAACCAAAAAGCCCGATGTAGCCGAGCGGTGGTGGCGCACGCCTATAATCCCAGCACTGGGGAGGCAGAGGCAGGACGATCTCTGTGAATGAGGCTAGCCTGCTCTACAGAGTGAGCTCCAGGACAGCCAGAACTACATGGTGAGACTTGGTCTCAACAAAAAAAGCCCAACGTAGTGTTAATCCCAGTACTCAGGAGGTAGGGCAGGTGACTCTGTGAGTGCGAAGCCAGTCAGGGCTACAGTGAGACTCTGCCTCAAAACAAAACCAAAACTTAAAAAGCAGCGCTGTGACAAGAACCCGGAAAAACAGAGGGAAGGGACTTTTGGTGGCGGCAGCTTTAAGACGACCCCCACGCCGACACTCCCAGGGTGTGCCTCGTGAGGACAACTGTCGGCACTAAGCCAGAAAGACCACCCAACTCCTAAATGTAGGAGCTAGCTGCACACAGGTCGTTTAAGACGCAGGACAGGGGTGGAGGGTTCTCCATGTGTCATCCGAGGGGAACCATGGAGCAGACCCTTTGCCTCTCTGTGATAGCTTCCACCATAGACAATAGGGAAGACAATACATTGTTCTTCAAAATGCTGATACATGGAGAGCCTCTGTCCCAAGGTCAGGTGCTGGGTGAGCAGCAGCTATGTACAGGTGCTATGGGCCTCAGGCTGCTGCTGGGCCAATTCCATAAGCCAGACAAAGGACACTTAGGAAGTGTGAGCACTGGCCATCCCTGAGGGAGGTCATAAATCAGACAAGGACACTTAGGAAGCGGGAGCACTGGCCATCCCTGAGGGAGGTCAGGTAACTCTTTATGGTACCCTGAATGGTCACTTTCTTGCAAGCAAATGACACTTACTTAGCACACATATAGGCGTTCTCTCCACTCAGGACATCTGGTTTCACAAAAAGTTCCAGCGCACGCACGATATTTGCAGCTTGCTGAGGAGGGCGGAAACAGAACGGGGTGAGCAGCAAAAGAAAAAAGCCTGACTGGAGAAGTCCCAGATTCAAGGTCTTTTCAGGCTGAGGCAGCAAGTGATAAAACCTGACTTGCATAAAAATTGGCCTTGCTAACCCACCCCGCCCCCACCAGAGGAGCAAGGAGCAGTCAGTGCCCTCTTTAGAGGTGACAGGTGACAGCCATGTGAGATCTTTCACTGTGACTGCAGCTGGGGTGACTCAGAAACTCAAGGTCCCAGCAAAGGCAAGGATAGGCTGACAGCAAAGGGGAATAATAGGTTGCCTACTCCAAAGACTGTCCCCAGCATGTCACACATTCCTCAAGCCCCAGTGTGGGCACTGTCACTGCTGACGCCCAGAACACAAACCTCAGGTTACTTTTTACCCTTTAACTGGAAGGAAAGGGCTAGACATCACAAATGCCAGCCTCTCCATGCCATATGCAGCAGAGACAACCACGCTGCAGCGAACAGGGGCCACCTTTCTTGCTGGCGAGCCCTCTGGCCTCCCTCTCTCGTCACCCCGCAACACAGATCACTGCCCAAGCATACCCGAATCTCCAGGGCTATGTCCAAGTAGGGATCGTATGTGTCTGAGACGCTCTTGCACACAGAGCACTTCACTGCAACAGAACACAGAGGCAGTGGGCAGCTGTGACCCATGAGAGCATCACCCGGGCCAGACACCTACAACCACACGTCTAGAACATTCAACTCTGCTCTCACAAAAGATGACTGTCCCGTTAGCTGGAGACACAGATACAGGTCATGCCAGGCTCTTTTATCAGGCCTTGCCTGCCCGTCTGTCTGGCCTCTGCAGCAGAACACAGGTCTCACCCCAAGGACAGAGGAGAGCTAAGGAAGAGCTCCATCATCACCTCACACAGTGCTCCTCCAGCTCCCTCAGCGGACAGTCCTACAGTGGGCAAGGGCAGCCAGGGAGAAAGACGAGGCCTGGGACCTCCAGCCCCCACCACGTGCTCATGTTCACACAGCTAGGGGCACGCCTGGTCTATCCAGGGACGCGGAGGACTTACTGGTTCCATGTGCAGATCTGCTTAGCCAGGGTGGAGAATACATCTGCTTACCTCGGGACCTGAGATAGCCTCCAAAGATCTGATGCACCAGGGTAGTGGCCTGTGTCTGCCGATCCAACCTAAAAGGAAGCCACAGCCATGAAGAGGAGAGTCCAGCACAGCGAGCATGCTATTCACAGCTCATAGGACCTTCAGCCTTCACAGCCATCCCTCTTAACCATCCTACCCTCTCCCTTCCATGCCACTGCTAATAAGACACCTGGGCAAGCTAAGCTGTACTGACCAGCACTTTCTTTGCCTGGCCAAGACAAGAGCCCCCCCTGCTCAGCACTCTACTTGAATGACCCTGCCACAGTCACTCTCCAGCACTCGTCACAGCCCTGGAGTATTCTCTAGAAGACTACAGTAATGGGAGGGTATGGCCAGCTTCCGGTCGCTTGCTGACTCCTCCCAGATGCTATTCCTGGCCAGGTGTTACATCCTCAGCCTACATGAGGCGTGGCGGTCTCCCAAGGCCATCATCACCCAGCCGGATCCCAAGCTGCACAATTCACTGCCTTCTGAATGGATGATGGTGCCAGGGTTTACTGTGAACTTCTTAGATGCTCATCACTAAAACATTTGGTTGATGGTGCACACCTTTAATCCCAGCACTCGGGAGGCAGAGGCAGGAGGATCCCTGTGAGTTCAAGGCCAGCCTGGGCTACAGAGCGAGCTCCAGAACAGCCTCCAAAACAATACAGAGAAACCCTGTCTCGAAAAACCAAAAAAAAAAAAAAAAAAAAAAAAAAAAAAGAAATTGCAGAACAAATTTTTGTTGTGCAATGATAGGTAATGAAAAAACATGAAGCAGCCGGGTGTTGGCGGCGCACGCCTTTAATCCCAGCACTCGGGAGGCAGAGGCAGGCGGATCTCTGTGAGTTCCAGGCCAGCCTGGTCTACAAAGTGAGTTCCAGGACAGCTTTCAAAGCCACAGAGAAACCCTGTCTCGAAAAAACCAAAAAAAAAAAAAAAAAAAAAAAGAAAAAACATGAAGCACCACTATTAATGAAAAGAGACAATCAACTGCCCGCATTAGCAGGTGCAGACAGCCCCTGTGTACACTGAAACCCAAGAGCAGTCGGAGCCCACATGGCGACTGCTCAGAGGCTGTAGCAGACTCAAATCCGCTCACCCTGGCCCAGGGGCAGGGGCTGGGAGAACTGAAGGTGTAGGCAGCAGGCTCCAAAAACATGTGAAGAAGGCAAAGGGACAGACAGGCATCCTCATACGAGGTGGGGAAGGGTGAAAAGGGAACATTTAGGATGTCCCCCAAGCCCAAAACTATGAGCAGTGACATAAATGTCACTCCGGAAAAAGCCATCAACGCAAGAAGGCGCGCTTCATACTGCCCAGTGCTGGCAAAGGACAGATGGCTCTGGAGAAAAGACTCGGGCAGCTTCAAGCTACGCACAGGCGGTCTGCACTGAAAACGGCAAGGGCACTGTCAGTGAAAACCATCCCCAGGAACTGGGAAGAGTGACAACCAGGTCTAAACTGAACTTCCGAGACACTTAGAGCCACAAGAAACATCCTGAACAGAAAACTTCAAATAAAGCAACACCCGCTAAAGACAAGATAAAATATGGATCTCATTTGGGCTGGGGAGAAGACGCTTGCAGAGGACCCTGATTCCGTTCCCAGCACTCCTGTCACGTGGCTCACAACTGTCTGTAGCTCCAGTCCCAGGGGCTCTGACAGACTCCTCTGGGCTCCGTGAGAATCCCCACCCACGATATTCACTCACACAGACACACGCATAAAAATGATAAAAATAGGCCGGGCGTTGGTGGCGCACGCCTTTAATCCCAGCACTTGGGAGGCAGAGGCAGGTGGATCTCTGTGAGTTCGAGGCCAGCCTGGTCTACAAAGCGAGTTCCAGGACAGCCTCCAAAACAAACAATACAGAGAAACCCTGTCTCGAAAAACCAAAAAAAAAAAAAAAAAAAAGATAAAAATAAATCTTAAAAAAAAAAAAGGCACCAAGGCATGGTGGTGCACACCATGACCGCAAAAGGATCAAGAATTAATTCAAGGGCTACTCAACACCCTGTCTCAAAGGAAAAAAAAAAAGAGCCAGGTGGAGGTGGCACGAAGGCAGAGACAGGCGGATCTCTGAGGACCAGGCCAACCTGGTCTATAAAATGAGAAGAGAAGAGAGGAGAGGGGATGGGAGGAGAGGGGATGGGAGGAGAGGGGAGGGGAGGAGAGGGGAGGAGAGGGGAGGAGAGGAGAGGAGAGGAGAGGAGAGCAGAGGAGAGCAGAGGAGAGCAGAGGAGAGCAGAGGAGAGCAGAGGAGAGGAGAGGAGAGGAGAGGAGAGGAGAAAAACCTGTTCAGGTAAGCCTGGGCCTGGGCCTGCAGACAGGAAAGCCATCAGAGACCAGAACTGTGGTCAAATGCCATCACAGAACTAACTAGAGACCCTGCAAAGCGAAGTCAGCCACACTGAGCAGCAGCCCCGGAGACCACGGCAAACAACGCTGCAGGGTGAGAGCCACTTGGGTCAGTCAGATCACCTTCCACAGACACTCCAGAAGGATCTGGTTACAACTGGTCCTTAGGCTAATGCCACCTCCTACAGGTGAGCAGCAGCTCCGTCCATGGAGCACCTGCTGCACAGTGTCCAACTGGGGGAGTGACCATGTTCCACACTCTCAAACGTGGACCAACAGTACAAGCAGGTGCCACGCTGCTGGACCCCTGTTCTGGGAAATGAGGAAGCAGAGTCAAGAGCTTGAGACCAGGTTAGGCCACACAGACCCTGGCTACAACACCAGAGGCGGAAAAAACAAAAAAACAAACAAACAAAAAAAACCCGAGCATGAAACAGAGTAAGATCATTAAGAATTGTAATTTTTCACATGTTGTTTTCCTGCATGTTTTCATTTTCACAGAAGTCTGAGCCTCCTCCCTTCTCTAAGTGTGAACCTCCTTCCCTCTCTAAGTGTGAACCCCTCCCTTCTCTAAGTGTGAGCCCCCCACAACTTTCTCTAAGTGTGAACCTCCACTTCCTTCTCTATTTCAAAGGAGTGAAGCGGTTTTGGAGAGACTGAACTTTTGAAGAAATTTTCTGGAGCCTTCCCCTCAGGAGAGCTTAGAGGCCCAGGCCATAGAGCACCAGGTGGTCAGATGCTTGGGCATCAACACGAACACCTTCTCAGAAGATGGCCGAGAGGGGAGGTGGGCCATGTTCACAAGTATGCCGTGCTGGCCCCAACATAAAGGTGTCCTCGGACAAGCAGGATGTGTGGGGAGGCTCGTGAGGCACATACTTAGCATAGCCGTTCAAGCAGGCCTTCTGCATGGCATCGATGGTATAACGCAGGAATTCGTGCGCATCCTCTTGGTTCCCGAAACGGAAGTGCCGGGCAATCTCTGGAGGAAGAAGGGAAGGATGCACGCTAGGTCAGCTGCTGGAGGCCACTTTTCCAAGAGCCAGCAATCGTGTCAGAGTGCTACAACCTTTCTGCCATGTGACTAGAAGACAGTTCTCCACAGCACTCACACAGCAGCTGGCTCTTATGATGCCCAGCACACCCAGGCCCTGCCCCTTCCCCAGCTTTCACGCTCACATGCTCTCCCCTGGCTGAAACCTAACTATTCTTCTAAGTGGTGCCCAGCAGAAAGCCTCCCTTCGGTAACACAGAGGCCCTGTGCCTACACCAACTACCACGGTGGGGTCTGCACCACTGTACGGGACCTTCCATATGCGAGGACTCCTGACACTTCCTTCGTTCATGGCTTTTTCTCCTCCTTCCTCAACCAGACACTCAACCGGAAACCCATTCTTACTTTTCAGGTCTCTGATGAAGGAAACAGGCTTGATGGCATTGCCACTGTTGGCAAAGGCCTGGACCATGTGGTTCTGCATGACACACAGCATGCAGAAGCTTCCTTGGTGACCTACAGTGGGTAAGAAGCAACGTTAGTCATAAGGGCACCCCCACTCCAGAGTAGAAGCAACCCAGGCTATGCATGACAGCACAGAGAAGCTCAACGGAAGCTTATTGACCAGCAAGCCACGGGACAGATGGCCTGCTCTCTATGAACGGGTGGGGCTCTCATTAGACACTACACTGAAACTGCGACTTTAAAACAAAGATGTAGAAGGAATATGACCTCGCCCTGCTGTAACTGGCTTTGGGAGTCTCCTAAGTGAAATACTGATTATCATAATCCAACTCCCCACAATCCTTCACCCATGGGGACCCTGACCGTGAAGTAGGCATGACTGATCCAATCTGTGTGCTTGCTGTAACACATGAACAATGTCACCACAGCCAGAGGTTAACAGGCTCACAAGGCATGCCAGCTACACCACGCACACGCCAGCTACACCACGCACACGCCGGCTACACCGCACATTGGCGATTTGCTTTCCTAGCGTCCACACTGCCCACCCAGCTCTTCCTCTGGCCCTCCAGCTCAAACGCTCCACAAATCCCAGATGGATCTGCTTATGGTACCCACCCCTAGCAAGCTCCGCCTTCCCCTTCTCCTGCCACCACTGGTCTCCTCATGCCCTAAAGAATACACCTGGAAGATAAATCTCCGGATAAAAACAATCTGTCAACTTTGTGAGGACTCACGTTACAACTCTGAAACTCGGTCAGCTGCCAGTTGCCCTGGCGGGCACACCTTCAACCCTATGAGACAGCCGATGTTTCAAGCCAACCTTGTCACATAAAATCCAACCCAAACCAATGAGCCCCCCTCTCAGGAGCCCTCGCCCCCAGCACTGGCTGTTCCTGGATGGGCAGGTGCTGCTCACAGGACAGGTGGCCCACACAGAGGACACGGGCCGCAGCTGTGGAACGCTTCGCTTGCCGACACCCCAGTGCAGCTCTACCGTGCCAGGTAAACCAGCATGCAGCCACACCACCATTAACTAAAACCAACCCACAAAGCTGACAAACGGCTGGAAGAGACCCCTGTGCAGCAACCTGAAATGGAGGAAGACACTACAGGGAAGAACGGATAAGAAAAGAACAGAAAAAAAAAAACACTTATGTAAGGCTTGGGTAGGGGGATCTTAGCGCCAGGACCGTGAGGTCAAGATGACAGTCTGAAAACAGACCTTCCTTCCTGAGTTAGCGCTAGAGATTGAAGCATAGACCCCACACAGGATAGACAAGGACACTACCCCAGTCACATTCACTTTTTTTTTTGTGTGTGGTTTTTTTCAAGACAGGGTTTCTCTGTATTGTTTTTGGAGGCTGTCCTGGAACTCACTCTGTAGACCAGGCTGGCCTCGAACTCACAGAGATCCGTCTGTCTCTGCCTCCCGTACACTTACTCTTTTAAGTAAAAGAATGTCCTTGAACTCGTCATGCAACCCAGCGTCATGTTAACGCCATTCCTATCCCCATCCACTCTGGACCCAGCCTGACCTGATCCCAGCTGTGTAACCACCGCCCTCCACCCGCGACTGTCTCCCCTCCTTCCTCTTTTTCTCTTTCTTCTTTTTGTCTTCCCAAGACAGGATTTCTCCATGCAGTTGTCCTGAAACTCACTCTGTAGGCCAGGCTGGCCTAGAACACACCTGGACATTCTTTTCCCTTTCTTTAAAGATGTATTACCTTTGGCCTGGGGACATGCTTAGTGGGTGAGAGTTCTTATGAAAACAAGAGGACCTGATTTCAAGGCTCCAACACTCATGCGGGGCATGGCCACTTTGGGGGCACTGAGGCAGGCAGACTGACCCCGGGAGCTTGCCAACCCGTCATCCTAGCCTAGTGAGATCCTGGTTCAGTGAGCAATCCTGCCTCAGAAGACAAGGTAGAAAGCAACAAACATTCAGTGTACTCCTCTCTTCCTCTGCATGTGCTTACGTCATCTGCCTGTGCATGTGAACACGCATATGCGCGCACACACACACCTTGCATGTTTTCTCTGCAATTTTCTTGCCTACTGGACATTATGTTACTAAGATTCACCGAGAAGCTGAAATATACTTACATGTACTGTTGTTGTTGTTTTTAAGATTTATTTATTTTTATTTTATGTGTAAAGGGTATTTGGCCTGCACATACCTATGTGTATCATGTATATTCTGGCTGTCTTGGATGTCAAAAGGGAGTATCATATCCCTTGTAACTGGAGTTACAGATGGTTGTGAGCCACCATGTAGGTGCTGGGAATCGAACCCAGGTTCTCTGTAAGAGCAGTGCATGCTCTAACCACTCAGCCACTTTATATGAGATGAACTCAGCTCCAGCTGAGGGTGTGTTCTTAGGGTTGTTTTTCAATACAAAAATCTCTCTCCAAAAAACGTATGTATGCAGGTTTAGTGATTTATGCAGGAATACTATTTTTCTCTTTTGCTTGTTTGTTTCTCAAGATAGAATTTTACTATGTTGCCCAGGCTGGCTTTGAACTCAGAGATCTGCCTCTGCCTACCAAGAGCAGGGATGAAAGGCGTGCGCCGCCGTGCCCAGCTAGAACACTGTTCTTAGAGCACTCTCGTCTCCCAGCACAGTCTCACAGAGGTGGTCATGCGGCCACCCACACTGCACTGTCCATTACAGCATAAACTTACGAGGTCACCATCTAGAGTCATGCCCCAGTGCCGTCTGGGCACTATCAGAAGGAGAGGCCCTTCTCCTGATCCTCTAAGAGGTTCTGCTGTCACCGCCACCCACTGTTCAGGTGAGCATCCTTTTCACTCACTACTACAGTGACTTCTTGACCACCTAGATGGGGAGACTCGCAGCCAGGCCTTTGACAGAAGTCAGTTCACCTTTATAATTCTGTGTGGAAGTTGGTATTGTTCTGTAAAGTGCGGACAGGAGGCAGAAGAAAGCCATAGGACATTCTAGAAACACGGCTGTTTGTCAGAGGAACCGGGGCACAGGCAGGCAGGAGGCTCTCTCAGCACGCCGAGCCCACGGCATCTGCGGGAGGCCTTCCTACACGGTGCCTGTGCTCTCAGGAGGAACCCAAGTTTCTCCAGACGATTTCCACAGCTGCCCAACATGCGTTCGTTTTGGCTAACAAGTTTAGACCAGCTCATTAGTAAGGCAGGCGGGTGACAAGCTAGTGAGTGTCCCCTTTCTGTTTACTAGAAGACCCACGGAAGGAATAACAAGAGCTAGCTTTGGCAAGTCTCAGCGCTCCAGCTACTTCACCCAATTTTAATTTCTACTTTGGGGCATGTTTTGCAATGTATATGAAACATACTGGTTCAGTACACACGTAAAATAGTTGGAACAGACACTGTGTGGAGGTATCTTTCAAAAACCCTTCCTCTAGAGAGCATGACCCTGCCTCAGAGAGACCCACGCATGGCCCATGCTATAGCAGGCGAAATTTCCCTCGCTCTGTCAATCACCACGTTCCATTAGCTTCACTTCAACTGACAGACAGACCGACCGACAGCCCCTCAAGCACAGGGTTTATCTAGCTGGTGTTAACGTGAGGAGAGTGCCTGTTTCAGCAAAGCCCCCGGGAAGCCCCACTCACAGCTCCGAGCGTGCTCCTTGGAGAGCAGGTAGTTGGCCAGAGGCGGCGTGTAGGTCAAGCACTGGATGGTGGAGTTCAGGAAGCACGTGTTACCCAGGTTGTGTAGCCCTGCGCCGACACGGAAAACGCGCTCCCACCTTAGCGACAGTCTCTCCACAGGGAAGAGCACTTTCTGTGGGGCAGGGACTCCATCACCTCCACTTCCAGACACACGCTCGGTGCCTAAGAGAAAGATGAGACCAGGTCATCCCAGGGGCCTTCCATGCTCAGTCCAGAGCTCAAGCCCCTAGGGGTCCCAGCTCTGTGACATACTGTGCACCAAGGGACCCCTCCACTTCCTTTCCCCCACAATGTAACTGTGTGCAGATGGACACGAGAGGAAAATGGCGGAGTCAGCTCTTCACTCCCACCTCGCTGAGGCACCACAGACTGAGTTTCCTGCTGATCCTGTCCCCTCCTCCCATCTCACTGCGGGCGTGCTGGTTACGGGTTCACCGGAGCACCTGAATCTGCCGTTTGTGTGGGTGCGAGTTGCACGTTCATGTAGCTAATGCTTTCATTGGCTGAGCCATTTCCCTAGACCCTAGCACCTGCTTTCCGACCTCATTAAGGAAGGGCGTCAGTCAAGGAAAGTTCAAGCGTAGATAACCTTCCTACTCGCCCTGCATCACGACGTCTATTGAAACAGCCCACTGGCTCCTGGAAGCCCAGACTACTTGAGCCCAAACACAGCCCCCGTACCTGCTTTTCTGGCCTGCAGCTCATCTCTGCCCTTGTGGTGACCAGTTCCCTCGGCCCTGGAGTTCAACAGCACATATTTGCTCTTCAAGGACTCCAGCTGGAAGGAGAAGCTCTTGCTGGCGGGTTCAAACTCAATCCTCTGCAGCAGGACCTTCTTGGCAGAGGCAGCCAGCAGCTTGCCCAGGTCCCCATCCTCTGCCGAGTCCTTGCGGCCAGGCTTGAGGGCCTCCTTCAGCTTATCGACTATGGGCATGGTGCATTCCTGTGGGGGCGGAAGAACCCCAGACCCATAAACAGCCGCATCCCAGAACAAGCACATGACTTCTGCTTGCTCGCTACACGCAGCAGCCATCGGGACAGCTACCCAAAAAGTACAGGGGCAGCCGAAGGCAGAACAAGCAACACGGCCTGTGGCAATTGCCGTTATTCCTGAAACTATTTAAAAAACAGCGGATGGCTAATTCTCACACACTCTGGTTACAGACAACAGTGTGAAAAATGAACGTGGGGGGAGGGGGTGGGGGTGAGATGGCTCAGTGATGTACGTCTCTTGCAGAGGACCCAGTACAGTCGCCAGCACTCAGGTCAAGCAGCTCACAACCCCTTACAGACAGATCCAGGACATCCGATACCCTCTCCTAGAACTCACAGGCACTTGCACTCACGTGTACATAAACACACACGTGTACAGTTAAAAATAAACATTAAAAAGGGCATCTTGGCTGGGAGTAGTCTCTACACTTTTATTTCTAGCACTCAGAGGCAAATCCATGTGGATCTCAGTGAGTTGGAGATCAGCCTGCCTTACAGAGCTGCAGGCCAGCCACGGACACACAGTGAGTCTCTGTCTCTGAAGATGGTTTTTTACTTCATGTGTATTTGCATGTACAGATATGTACACTGCATGCATGCCTGGTGCAATAGATCCCTGGACCTTTTACAGACAGTCCTGAGCTGCTATGTGGTTGCTGGGAATTGAACCCGGGTTCTCTAGAAGAGCAGTCAGTGCTCTTAACCACAGAGTCATCTCTCCAGCCCCATCCTTTCTTAAACAAAACAACAAAAAAAAAACACACACACAGACACACACAGACCCCCCCAGCATATAAGGCAGATGGCCAGGCATGTCTGCACAGTCCTCTCTACGCTCTTCTCCAGAGGCCAGGGGCCATATCTATGTGGAAGAAGCCTGGTTCGGGTGAGAGCTACAGAGATTTACCATCAGGTTTCCATGGCCCACTTTTAGAAAACAACACAAGGCATCTCTGTCTATCACCTGGCACGTGTTGAAATGACAAAATCTTACACAGATTGATTCAGATAAAACATATCATGAAAATCAACTTTACCTTTTCACTTTTCTAACATAGCTGCCGTGAACTCTGACCTGCATTTGGCCATGGTGTTTCTATTAGGCTCTCTCAGCTGGGCATAGCTGCTCATCGCTGGTTTACTCCCAACTTAAGAGGTTGGGGCAGGCCTACTGAGAATTCCAGGCTAGCCTGGGCTACAGAGTAAGACCATGTCTCAATCAGACACTCTGACAATCAGACTCCTCTCTCTCTCTCTCTCTCTCTCTCTCTCTCTCTCTCTCTCTCTCTCTCTCTCTCTCTCTCTCTCTCGAGGGCACATCTCCACATTTGCACAGTCCCATGCTCCGATGCTAACTGGGAAGGTGGCTGTAGGGATTAGCCAGCGAGCCTGCTGCACAGTGGTCCCAACAGAGGCATAGCTCAGGACCACAGCAGCCGCTGGAAGAAAGATGAGCCCCTCCATCATCCAACTGCCACACCCGTACCCCCATCCTGCCCACCTCCCAACTTTCCACCCACCTGGCCACCATTAGCTGTTTGAGTCACATTACAAAAACACATCTCTGCTTTAATCCCAGCACACGGGAGGCAGAGGCAGGCAGATCTCTGTGAGTTCGAGGCCAGCCTGGTCTACAGAGAGAGTTCCAGGATAGCCTCCAAAACAATACAGAGAAACCCTGTCTCCAAAAACCAAAAAAAAAAACCAAAAAAAAAAAACCAAAAAACAACAACAACAACAACAACAAAAAAAAACCAGCTACAGAAGTTTGAGGTACACGGGTATCCCAAAACAAACAACATTAAAACCCAAACCCAAACCAGCAAGCACCAGTCCTGTGACACAAGAATCACAAAGTCTTCTGTGGTGGGGACTCACCGGGACTTTCACCCACAGGACAGCCACTACCAGACACTGGTCGCTGGAAGACACAGAGACAAGGACAGCTCCGGGCTTACCTGGGCTGTCTGAGCCTGGCTGCTGCCTTTCTCAGCAGCAGGGAATCAGGTTCTCAGGGGAGGGGCAGCGCTGACCCAGCAGGTGCTCCCCGGGACTCGGGTCTGCCCAGTTACCAACACCGCCAAGTGTAGAGTCCAGAGTAGGCGCCGGTACCTGGAGGACGAACAATGACACTGTCACCCATGGTTGGCTTCTCCGGCTGTCTCCTAAGTTGCTCTCTTGTGTGAACTGTGACCGTCTACCAGGAAAAAACGGTATCACTAGGGGAAAGGAAGCCAGGTGCAGACATGCGTGCCCGTAATCCCAACATCAAGAAGTAGAGCAGGAGGAGCAAGCATTCAAGGCCGGCCTGGGCCAGCAAGACTTTGTCTTAAAAAAAAAAAAAAAAAAAAGAATCTGTGCTGAATCCACCGTGACCCAGAGGACAACTGTGCTAACAAGATAACTAAATTTATGACACAAACACGCTGCCCTCTGCTCTGTCACAATCCTCTCTCACACCCATGGGCGACTCCAGTCTGAGTACCATGTCCAAAGACTACGGAGGCAATATGGATAAAATTTTCAAACTCCTTGGATTTCATCAGTCAGTTTCTTTTTAAGGAAATAATCACCACGAAATTTTGACTTTCATAATTATAAACCCTGTCCTCGATTCCCATCTACTGTCAACTTGATCACATAAAGGCATTTCCCAGCTTCTCAAACACACACATCCACAGGATGGCACAGTCAGCACAATGTACCATCGATGGGCTTAATGACCATCTGCCCAACCTTGGTTCACTTCCCCATGCCCAGGTTCTCTTGCAGAGGGCCTAGAAACATCCGTCCGACCGTCCACTCCATCTAACCAATGCCCCTACTCCAACAGAGGGTTCTCACACTGCAGAAGAGAGACAGCCTGTCTTTTGAAACTCTAAAATCACTCATACGAAGCTTCTTCCCACAGCGAAGTGAGACCGTCGTCCTGGCCTAACATGGTCCAAGAATGACCAAATGGGAACGTGAACCCAGAGTCATGTGGCATGAGCATCTTACGCTTAAGTCAGGTTCACACAATCAGGACAATTTTTGAAGTTATGGCAGAAAAGACTACAATTCTACCTGAAAGATACAGCTACGTGACATAGGAAATGATCTTCTTGCGATTCCCCACAAGCCTCCTGAAGTGCGCGCGCCCGCGCGCGCGCGGGCGCGGCACGTGTTGACTCCCGAGGCTGGGCAATGCGTTCGCCCACCCAGGTCTCTGAAGGTGTAGGATACTCTGTGCCCTCAATTTCCATACCTAACTCTGAACTCAAGCCTGACTCCTCCATCCACACAGACACCATTTACACAAGGCATCTCCCTCTTCAAAGTGTTTCCCAAGAAAAACCACACTTGAGACTTAAACGGGGTCAATTACACGCTGGGGGGGGGGCGGGGAGGAGACAGACAGGGCAGGGAGGGGGCCTCCTCCAAGACTCCCCACAGCAGAGCGTGCCCGAGCCAGGACCAGCTGAACTGCATACACGTTCTCTCTGCCATCCATTGCCAAGCCGGGCTATGCAGATGCCGGCCTCCAGCATCTAACCATCTCCATCCCTAAGGATACAGCAGGGACGCAGGGAGGCGCAGGCGCGCGCGCATACACACACCCCAGAAGCATTTGGGTTAGACGGCTGTCCTGCTGTCACAATTCGGTAGGGAAGCGCCTTAAGGATCTGTCCCCACCCTAGACCACAAGCTGCCGGACTACAGCTCTACCTGGCCACCCTGAGGTCCGCAGCCCCGGGAATCTTCTAAGGAACAACCCCCCGCTCCCAGAGTGCAACCCCGGGGTCACCCAGATCCCTGCGGCCGCAAGTTCCGGAAGAACCCCTGGATGCAGGGCGACTGATGCAATTCCCTGGCCACGCTCGGGTTCGCGGGCGCCCCTCGCATCGCCCGTCCCTTCCTCTGGTCTCCCGTGCCTCCGTCCCTCCACGTTCCTCGCACCCCACTCCTCCTCGGGGGTTCCCGACGCCGCTCGCATCCCCCCCGACCCTTGTCCTCCCCGGGGATCCCAGTCCCTCGCGCGTCCCCTGTCCTCCCCGCGGTCCCGGGCGCGCTCGCCGGCCACGCACCTGTCAGCCTGCGCCGGAGGCCCCAAACCCCCGCGGGTGGGAGCGCGCGCCTCCCCTCCCGGCCTCTCTCGCCCCCAAGCCTCGCGGAAGCACCGGCGCTCGCCGGAGCTTGTCTCCACCTCCACAGGCCTCTCAGACGCCCGCCGAAGGCCCGCGCAGCACCAGCGTCCGCTCCGCTCCCGGCCGGGCCCGCACGCGCACCATCCGGGCCTCGGGAGCCTCACACACGTGTCACCACGGCCTTTAAAGGAGCCGCACTGCGGAGCGCGCCCCGAGGCCGCGAGCGGAGGTCCGGGTGCCTTTAAGGGGCGGGACTAACTCCGAGCCCTTTCCTCCCCCGTGGATCCGCCCCTTGGACCTCGGCTACTTGCGACGCACAACGTCACCCCGCTCCGGTCCGGCAGCCCTGCCGGTCTACGCGGTGACGCAAGCGCGCAGCGCTACAAGCGCCGGAAGCACCCGGGAGTCCAGAGACCACCCCCCCCCCACCGCTGCGGCCTGGCGTGGTTCCCGCGGAGGAGGTGCGGCTGCGTCACTTCCGCCTGCGTGCCTGCCGCCGCCAGTGCGCAGGCCCAGTAAGCCGGACGGCGGAAGGGCGGAAGCTGGATGCCGGCTCCGCGCGGAGTCGGTGGCTCTGGGTGAGGATGACGCTGCTGCGGTAGCGGGAAGTCCAGCCGCGGTGGCCGCAGGCTCAGTGCAAGCCTGGCTGGCCGTCCTGGGACCGAGGCTTTGGGGAATCTCACCATCTGTTAACTTCTGAGCTGCTGGTGCCCTTTTGAAAAAAAAAACAGCCAGCGTGAACCAGGCGTGGTGGCAGGAGAATGCGGTGGAGGCGGGGATGGTCAGAATTCAAAGGTCGTCCTTGGGATGCACCACTTTCCGTCTGCAGATGTTAAATACATAAATAAACATAAATAAAGCCACATCTAAGTGGCTGAGATTGGTTGATCATGCAGAATGTGTTAGCCTGAACCACATAGGGGAATCTTTTTTAAAAAAACATCCGGTTAGCCTATGCCTATGTCTAGCTATAAAAATACCCCTTTTAGAGCTAGAGTCATGGCTCAGAGGGCTTGTTCTTGCCCAGGGCTTCCCAGTGCCCACACGGTGATTCATAACCTCTTGTAACGCCGAATCGCAGGATCTTTTGACCTTAGAGGGCACCTACCTGCACACACATGTCACACATTCAAAGATGAACGCACACATAAAAAGTAACGATAAAGAGTGTCCTCTTAATTTTGTTCTTGTTTTTCGAGACAGGGATTTCTCTTCGGAGTCCTTAACTGTAGACCAGGCTGTCCTCGAACTCGCAGATATCCACCTGCCTCTGCCTCCCAAGTGCTGGGATTAAAGGTGTTCACCACCACTGGCTTTTTCTTAATTTTTAAAAGGTTTATCTTTATTATTGTAATTCATGTCTGTGTTTCTATGTGAGTGTAGGTGCCTGTGGAGGCCAGAGGTGTCCCATCCCCTCTCAGCACTGGAGTTACAGGCAGCTCTAAGTTGTGAGCTGCCCAATCCACATGAGCACTGGGAACCAAGGCCTGGTACTCTGTAAGAGAAGCATAAGCCGTCTCTGAGTCCCAGAATCCTCTCTCTCTCTCTCTCTCTCTCTCTCTCTCTCTCTCTCTCTCTCTCTCTCTCTCTCTCTCTCTCTCTCTCTCTCTCTCTCTCTCTCTCTCTCTCTCTTTTGAGGCTGTCCTGGAACTCACTCTGTAGACCAGGCTGGCCTCGAACTCACAGAGATCCGCCTGCCTCTGCCTCCTGAGTGCTGGGATTAAAGGCGTGTGCCACCAGTGCCCAGCTGAGAATCTCTTTACATGCAACCGGATGTGGCTAGTGCCCCAGGGAAAAGCCAGCCTATTGAACGCAGGTACACTTTCACCCTTAAATCTCTTTTAGCTGTAGACCCTAGTTACATTTTGAACAAATGAAATGGAGGTGGGAAACTAGTCTGACCCCTTGTGCAGATGGGGATGTAGAGGGCAGAGTTATTTCTCAAGCACAGCTGAGCTGTCTTTGAGTACTTGTTACCCCGGGTCATCTTGCTTTTCCTGATAAGACTTCAGGGGACGCAGTGACAGACCAGTTCTTAGTGGCAGTCATTACCCTGCACAGGCCCCTCATAAGGCATGTTCTTAGGGGGTGGGTCTAATGGCTGGTCAATCCTGGTGAATTTTTACAGCCTAGCATTGTAAGTTTTGCTTCTTTCTTTGTATTTGGGGGGGGGGGATTGAGACAGGGTTTCTCTTTGTAGCCTTGGCTGTCCCGGAACTCTCTGCCTCCCCTAACAGTAATCCCAGTGCTTGATGGTAAAGACAGGTAGATTCCTTGTGGCTAGCTGGCCAGCTGGTTTAGCCTACTTGGCAGGTTCAGGTCAGCGGGAGACCTTGTCTTTTATTTTTAAGTGGGCATTTCTGAGGACTGACACCTGAATTTGCTTTCTGGCCTCCACATCCATCCCCTACGCACAAACACCAACGCCTATTACAACCGCTGGACTTAACATTTAGTAGCAAAATACCAAGCTGGCCACAGTTAAATACCCAGAGTAACCCACAACAAACAAACAAACAAAACCAGACTGTTGTTCCCATCTTTCAAGTGAGAAATAACCCTGCAAGACCCCAGCCCCAGGGCTGGTGAGATGGCCCAGTGGGTAAAAGCACCAAACTTGACAGCCTGAGGTTGGAATCTGCTTAGGTGGCCCTGCCCTCCCCGCCGCACCTCATCTTTGAAATGGGGGCCAGTAACTGCCAACTGCTGGTAGCTGCCCTCGAATGCTGCCCTGGGCACCTCAGGCTTCTCATTTCCTGAAATGGACACATCTCTACCTTCTCGGAAGAGGCCATCCTCCTACCCGGTTGCCCATTTACTCTGCTGGGGCAACAGTCAGACTCCAGTCACTGGAGAATTTGCCAGGCTCCTCCAGCTGCCTTCAGGTGGGTGAGGTGGGGCCTTTCCTGTCCTCCCTCTTCCCTTGGGGATGTTAGCAGTGGCCCTGCCCCCCTGTGAGCCTTCTCCTTAGACGCGGACATGGCCCACCTCCGTGCTCCTTCCAATCCAGGTGGGGCTAAGTCCTGTCATTGCTAGTTTCTGGGTTGGCCACTGCTCCCTAGATGTTATGGCTATTTTAATTGAGACCACACAGTTATAATCCTATACTTATTGCTGGTATATGTCTGGGGGCCTCTCCCTCATCGCCAGCCTGTTGTGGTATAGTCCAGTTGGTAAGTGCTTGCCTACCATGAAGTCTTGGGTTTGATCCCTCAAACCTTATAAACTGGGTGTGGTGGTGTACACCTGTAATCCCAAGAGGACCAGAAGTTCAGGGCTATACTCAGCTACATAGTGAGAAGCTAGCCTCAGGATATAGAAGATCCTGTCTCAAAAACTAACCTGTCAAGTTTGTTAACTTTACTGTTCAGATATCTCTCAAAACACATTTCTCCCATTCAGTCACTTAAGAAGGAGCTCTTGCCTGGAGAGGTGGCTCTTGCAGAAGGACCTGGGTTTAAATCCCAGTACCACCACATGGTAGCTGACAATGTAACTCCAGTTCTGATGCCCTCTTCTGGCCTCTGTAGGCATCAAGCTTGTACTCAGATACACAGACATACCTATGGGCAAAACACCCAAACACACAAAATAAAAATAAATATCTTTTACAAAAGAAAAGTCCTGCCTGGTGGTGGTGGTGGTGGTGGTGGTGGTGGCACATGCCTTTAATCCCAGCACTCTGGGAGTCAGAGGCAGGCAGATCTCTGTGAGTTCAAGGGCAGCCAGGTCTACAGAGCGAGTTCCAGCACAGCCATAACAACAACAAAAAACAAAAGTCCCTCACAGTCTTCATCGATATCAGTGTAACAGCTAATTACATTGCTCAAGTACCAAATAGAATCACATATTTAAGCAGGATGTAGTGGTAGCGCATACCTTAATCCCGACACTCAAAAGGTAGAGGAAGGAGGATCAGGAATTTGGGGTCATCCTCAGCTGCATTGCTAATCCTAGGTCAGCCTGGTCTACAGGAAACCTGATCTAAAATAATGACACCATTCACAGCTCACCCTTGAATGCATGCATACTGCATCCTGCCTTTCATGTAGACCTCGGCCTCAAGACATTTCCAATTCTAGATTCTTCACAGCCAAATCCAAGTTCTCCATCTCCATCCCAATCAGAAGTCTCTGCTCATCCTAGTCTTTGGCCTGGAATTCCCTTTCCCACTGCCTCTCAACCCTTGACCTATGCACTGCCCACCTTCTTTTGTTGTTGTTATTTGTTTGGTTTTGTTTTTCAAGACAGGGTTTCTCTGTGTAACAGCCCTGTCTGTCCTGGAGCTGACTTTGTAGACCAGGCTGGCCTCAAACTCTCTAAGATTAACCTGCCTCTGCCTCCCAAGTGCTGGGATTAAAGGCATGTGCCACCACTGCCCTGTAGCACGGCCCACTTCTAGATTCCCTCCTCCCATGGCATTCTTTTGGAGCATTCTGTGGACTCCTCTGTCCCTACCACGACTCCCAAGAGTCAAAGACCACTGTATCTCTGGATCTATTTTTTTTTCAGGCTCACTGTGGACAAATGTTTTAGAAGAGACAAAATGCAAAGCAAGATGCTTTAGATGAGACAACTAAACAGTCTCAGAATCCTAAAAAGAGAAACCCAGAGAGATGCTGAAAAAGAAGGGCAGCTTTGTTGTTTCTCTCCATCTATAGATCACGCTGACCTTGAACTCACAAACATCTGCCTGCCTCTGAGTGCAGAATTAAAGGTATGAGCCACCGAGCCTACTGGGACAGCTTGTTTTTTGTTGTTGTTGTTGTTTTAAGATTTGTTTATCATGTATACAGTGTGTTGTCTGCATGTATCCCTGCATGCCAGAAGAGGGCACCAGATCTCATTACAGATGGTTGTGAGCCACCATGTGGTTGCTGCCATTCAAACTCAGGACCTTTGGAAGAACAGCTGTCTCTTATCCTCTGAGCCATCTCTCCAGCCCAGAACAAATTTGTTTTAAAGCTTTGGGGGAAAGATGTTTTGACAGAGTAGTACTGTTGTTACTCAGAAGTTACTTGGTCAGCTCCCTGCCTTGGAGGTCAGGGCAAACGGATCCAGTTCCTCCCCAGCTTCACGTGCACGGTTGTTGGAAGAGGTCTCCGAATGTCACAACGGGAGCTGGGGAAATGGTTCAGTGGGTAGAGTACCTGCTGAGAACCCGAATGCAGCTCTCCAAGCACCCACGTAAAAGCTGCATGAAGTGGTGTGTTGGTGGAGTTTCTTATCCCGCCAGGCCCTGCCACTTCAGCCCCAAATGAACAAACAGAGACGCTATATTCATTATAAAACTGTTGGCCGACGACTAGGGCTTCTTACTGACTAGCTCTGTCTTAATTATTAACCCATAACTACTTATCTATGTATTTCTACATGGCCTTATCTTACCAGAGAACGTCAGGCTCATCCACTCATCCTATCCTCCCAGTCTCTACATGGTGTCTCCTCGAGGTCTCTCTCTGCCTACCTTTCCCAGAATTCTCCTCGTCACCTGGTCCCACCTATCCTTCCTGCCTCTATTGGCCAAACAGTGTTTTATTCATCAGCCAATAAGAGAAACATAGACAGAAGGACATCCCCCATCAGTGGTTCACATCTATACCCCAGCATGGCAGGGGGGGGGGGAGGCAGATCACAGGGGCTCCCTGTTGTCAACCAGTCCAACTGAAACGCAACCACCAGGTTCAGAGAGCACCCCAGTCTCACACATAAGGCAGAGAAGCGACTGAGGAAGACACCTTGATGTCAGCCTCTGGCCTTCACAGGTGAGTGCTGGCCCATGCCTTTTGCAATGAGGTCTCTCTCTGCCTCCTGCATGTGGATCCGATACAAGCTCTCGGCTACTACTCCAGCACTGGGCTCGCTCGACTGCTGCCATACATGGTAACAGACTCTAACCCTCTGGAACCACGAGTTCCCAAGTTAAATTCTTTTCCAAGTTGCCTTGATTGTGATGTCTCTTCATGGCAGTAGAAAAGTAAACTAAGACCCAGCCCCGCCCCCCACACACTCCGTCCTGATCACTGCTGGTGCCCCTGTGTGTTAGACAACCATTCCAAATTGCATTAAGTCTGCCAGCTTAGTGATAGCCCCCCTGCAGCTCCAGCAAGCTAAGGGGGCACCTTGTCCCTGAGTTGCCATAGCAACAGACTTTCCCAGCAAGCACAAGCATCATTGGACCTCCCGCTGCCCTGAGGTTGTCATTCAGGGACAGAGTGACCCAGGCACAGGCTGCTCTATGCTGAGGGTGGATGTCACCGCTGCTGAGCTTGTGCTCCATCCCTGAGTGACACACCCATCCAGATGGCGTTGTCAGCCCAGAGCCTGCTCCCTATAGCACCCTGGTGTGACATGTACTGGCAGCCTTGGCCACTGGCCTCTGACATAGAGTCCTCACTTTGTTTGCACAGTGCTCAGAGCCCATAAGGACAACAATGGGACATGTCATCCTCCCTACCCATGCAGACAGGACCAGGGATCAAGGTGGTTCTTGCCTATTTAGTGTTGCTCCAGAAACCTGACTATACCTCTGGGCCCAGCCACTTGGGGGAAACATTTCTTTTTTTGTTTGTTTGTTTGTTTTTGTCTTTTGTTTTGTGAGACAGGGTTTCTCTGTATTGTTTTGGAGGCTGCCCTGGAACTCGCTCTGTAGACCAGGCTGGCCTCGAACTCACAGAGATCTGCCTGCCTCTGCCTCCGGAGTGCTGGGATCAAAGGCGTGCGTTACCAAGGCCAGGCTGAGACAGGGTCTTGCTAAGTTGTTCAGGGCAGTTTTGCATTTTCTATCCTCTTGTCTCAGCCTCTCAAGTAGCTAGGGTTACAGTCCTGTGCCGAGCCCTATGCTTTTTTGCCCGTATATAACTCTTCCCTGTACCCCAATATTTATCCTCAGTAGGAAGTACGCGTGCTTTGGGAAGCTTGCTGACAGGACCCCAACCCTGAGCTCAGGGGAAGATCCCAGGCCCTCGACACACAGCCTTCCCACTCTCCTGAGGTCACAAACCCTTCCCAGTGGCCCCACCTATGCCATTAAGCCACACCCCTTCCCAGTGGCCCCACCTATGCCATTAAGCCACACCCCTTCCCACTGGCCCCACCTATGACATTAAGCCACACCCCTTCCCACTGGCCCCACCCATGACACTATAAGCACAACCTTTCTCGTTTTCCACATTCTGAGACTGGTCACACCTACATCCTCCCCACAGGCCGGAACTGCATTCCAGTAATAGGGAATGATTCAGCAGCGTTCATAACGAGGCTTACAGGTGACACCCACACCTCGGCCTGCCCTTCTGCGAGTGTGACACTTACCATGAGAACCTGAACGAGAAATGAGACCAGGAGTGAGACCAGGAAGAAGGTTTCAGAGGGAGGGCCTCACAGAGGCCCAGGTCCACGACAGGAGGGGCAAGCACTTTCCGGAACTCCAAGAGACGCTCGCCAGGACACAGAGCAGGTAAAGCAGGCGTGCCCCCACAGCTTGCTTGAGGTTCTCTGGAGTCCTTCACAAACACGTACTCAAAGCCACGCAGTGGTGGTGCACACATTAAATGCTAGCACTTAGGGAGGCAGAGGCAGGCAGATCGACAAAAGCCTGGTCTACAAAAGAGTTCCAGGACAGTCAAGGCTACACAGAGAAACCCCGTCTCAAAAATGTGCATGCAGGATGGCTCGTGATTCATGACTTTTGATCTGATTTGGATGTCTTGCATGTGTATGCAGTGTTTGTATGTGCACATGTGTATAGTGTATGTGGGCACTCACACCTGTCCACGTGCAAAGGCCAAGGGAAGGCATCAGGTCTCCTCTATCGATCTCCACTGTCTTTCTTCAAAAGCACCTCATTTTTTATTATTTCGTGTGTGTGTGTGTGTGTGTGTGTGTGTGTGTGTGTGTGTGTGTGTAAGTGTGCATGCAGGTGTCCACCAAAACCAGAAGGTGTTCAACCTCCTGGAACTGGAGTTACATGTGGGTGCTGGAAATTGAGCCCAGGTCCTTTGGGAGAGCAGCCAGTGCTCTTAACCACTGAACCATCTCTCCAGTCACAGCATACATCGTATTTCTTAGAGGCAGGGTCTCCCTCTGATCTGGAACTAGAGTATTTTCGGCTAGCCCGGCAGCTGGCAAGCCACAGAGAGCACCCTGTCCCTTCCCTGCATAGCACAGGGGTGGGGTGGGGTGGGGGATGGGGTGGGGGTGGTGGAAGGGTCACAGGCACACACAAAACCCCATCAGGTTTGCTAATGAGTGCTGGGATTTGAACTCATGTCTTTATGGTTACACAACGAGCACTTTCAACCAGAGCCACTCTCTATCTTCTGTTTTTGAGACAGGATCTCACTATGTAGTCTTGGCTCACCTGGAACTCACTGCACACATGAGGCTGGCCTCAAACTCAGAGATCCACCTGCTCCTGCCTCCCCAGTCTGGGATTAAAGCATGGGCCACCACCGCCCAGTGGGTTTACTTTCTTAATATAACTTCAAGATGACATTATAAGTGAATATAGAAAGTAGGAAATACTTGCTGGGCAGAGGGGAGAGTGTAAAGACAGAACACCACATTTCCTGGAGGATTTCTTGCCTGCCAGGGTTTTGCAGGGATGGGGTGAGACTGCATTTAAGAGCTCATTGCCGGGACATTAGGAATATCCCACTGACTGCACAGCAATCCTCTGAGCTGACATGTTCCCTTCTGGAGCTAGGGGGAGGACCGGAAGCCCCAGTCACAAGATTCACAAGACCCCTCCCTCCCTGGGTTATGTAAGCAATAGCTGGGAGAGAATTGGGTGGTGCTGCCTTTAAACTGAGCAGGAGTTTCTAGGGATGTAGCAGCATCAGCTATGATAGGGCGCCCCTTTCTGGTGATGCAGCTGCCTTTAAGTCACCCCTGCCCCTGTAAATGACTCCAAAACTCACTGGGTCACCAAGGAAGATGGCTGGGTTTTAGTTGTTATTTTGAAACAGTCTTGTGCAGCCCAGGCTATCCTGGAACTCTCTATGTAGCCGAGGATGGCTTTGAACTCGTGGTCTTCATGCCTCTACCTCCTAAACACCAGGATTACCGTCTTGTACAGTGTGTTCAATGCTGGAGATCCAATCCAGGGGTTCATGAATGCAGGGCAGGGCAAGCCACACCCCCAGTGTCTACCATGGTGGATTTGGATAGATTGTTTCTCTGGTTTGTCACTGTGGATTTGGATAGATTGTTTCTCTGGTTTGTCACTGTTTCCATTCCAGAGTGTAAACATTTGTTCACAATCTACCCAGAAAAGTCCCACAATACACTGGCCCGGGACAGCACTTTGGTAACATTGTGCCTGGCTTCCCTGTGACTTCCCTTAAAAGGTGGCAAAATGAGACCCTGTGTGATTGACAAACAGAATGTGGCAGTCACTTTTGTTTCTAGGCAATACCTGTAGAAGTACTTCTGTACCCACAACCCACCTTTCTGCAGGCTCAGATTTGAGTTTACCGCTTTTTTTTTTTAATTTTTGAGATAGCCTGGCTATGTAATCCAATTTACCCTCAAATTCATGATCCTCTTGCCTCTGCCTCTCAAGAGACAGAATTTCGTGTGCACGTCACCATGCCTGGCTGCTTCACGTTGTAAACATGGAAGTCATGTTTACTTGTTTGTGCGCTCGGACACTCACTCGTGTGTACGTACAGGGGTCAGAGGACAACTTCTAGCAGTAGGCTTCTGCCTTCCACCATGTGGGGGACCTGACTTGGGTCACCAGGCTTAGCCGCAAACGCTTTATCATCTGCTGAGCTATTTCTTCAGCTCTGAACGTTTTTCGTCTTTGTTTTGTTTTTGTTTTTTAGGCCCATTTTTTACTCAGGCAGGAATGTTCCTCTTGGTTATTAAAGGATGGCCGTGTAGGGGCTGAAGAGACGCGGCTGCCTGCTCTTGCTGAGGACCCAGGTTTGGTTCCCAGACCTTTCATGGTGGCTCAGAACTGCCGCCACTCCCAGTTCCCAGGCATCGGATGCCTTCCTGTCCCCCGTCTGCCCCAGTGACTCCCATCCACTCCTCTGCCCTCCATTGCCCCCAGTGACTCCCCTCCCCTCCTCTGTCCCCCAGTGGCTCCCATCCCCTCCCCTGTCCTCCATCGCCCCCAGTGACTTCCATTCCCTCTAGCTGGTAGAGCTTTGGCCCCCCACCCCCCCCAAAAAAAACCAGCAGAAACAGCCACGCAGGGAGTCAACCTTCTCTTTGATAATATGGTTTATTGTCCATTGACAAAGCAATCCCTCAAAAATAAAAATAAAAACTGATACAAAGCATCAGAGACACGCATAGTCGACCTGTTGACTTTGAACAACTCTCAGGTGTTGTCAGCATGGGGTGCAGGGAGGTTCGTCTCAGACTTCATATCCCAGCATGAACACAGTGCTTCCCCTCCCCCCCACCAACAACCAAGAGTTCAAACGGAAACAAAATCAACAAAGCTTTAAATTACTTGGCAAGCTCACAGATATGTCTTAATATGCGTCAAGCGGAGATTTGGGAATATATACCGTGTAAACGTCATCTGAAATGCTTGCTGGCATGATGGAATTAAGAGGGGGGGGAGGGAAGCCCAGTGGTCAGAACATAACCATGCCGAGTTCAACAATGCCGAGTGGATACATCCCTTAAACTATATATTGTGATTGACTTGCTGCAAAGGCGTCTGAGTGGCTGCTGCTTAGCTGCCATCTGTCTGGCACTTTGTCCCAATAGTTTGGCGTGTTTGTTTGCTTGTCTCTTCGTCTGCCTGGCGTGGCTAGGAAAAAAACCAAGGTTGAGGAGGAAATATAAAGGCCATCTTTTAGAACCAGTCTCTCAGAGATTCCTTCATCACAAACGACAGGGGTCTGGGAAAACAGATACTCCGAAGAGCTCAAAGATCACAAGGGCTCCTCGGCCCCAGGCCAGCCATCACGCCATGCCATACTTTCCACTCTGGGTCAGACGCTTCCTCGATGCCAAAACATCTTTGTTTTTAAAAAGTGCAAAGTCTAGTGCTACCAAGGGCGTAGACGCGGCACAAGAACGCTCACAGCGAACATCAGAAACAAACCAGAGCACGTCAAGAGGTCGGCAGGAACGGGCTTTGTTACATAGGGTACCACAGCACAGGAAGCAAGCAGGCAGGGCGGGGTAGGCTGCAGGGTCTCGTGGGCTGGTCCATGACAGCATCCTAGGAGGAACAGCGCTGTGAAAAATGCCCTCGGGAGGGGCAGGCTGGTTCCCCGGGGAACACCCCCCCCTCCCCAAGTCTGTCTTAAAAGGGAAGTAATCTAGCTCTGAGTTGCCAGGTCCTGGTTGTGGGGGTGTGGCTAATGGTAGGGGTGGATCTTAACAGTTGCTTTGGGGTTTCTGACAGTTAGGAGAGGGAAGGAGGACAGAGGTCCTTGGAAGCATTTTGCAAAAGGACCACTCGCAGGCTGCCAGACTTCAGAGTCTGTTTTTGTGTGAGCACATGCGTGCATGTTTGGATAATATACCTGTGTGTCCTTGGGACCTCTTGTTTTTGAGACTTGGGTAGAAGGAAGAGTGACTATCTGTACTGTTAGTGGCAAAGTTCTGCCTGTCTTAACCCCTATCCTGTTGGCATCAGGAAAATCAATTTTTTAGGGAGCAGTAGGTACCCCAGTTCCCTATAAGGGCCTTACATGGGTAGTATCTGTGACACTGAGAGACAGAAGCAGAACTAAGTGCACTTGCCTCTTGGCCTCATTCAGTGTCTTAGGAGAATGAGATCTCTTTAAGCACAAGCCACAGCCTCTTGGGGGCTTAGTAAGACAAAGCCGCTCTCAGGCTCCTTCACCACACAGGTTCAGGGGCTTGGTTAATAACACGACAGAAATCTACACACAGTAATGACGGCCAGTCTAGCAAGGAGATTTCACTAGGATTTTTCCATTGGGGCATTACGGGACTGGCCTCTTACACCTTCAGTTTGTGCAAAAAATAAAAATAAATGGTGTGTGTGTGTGTGTGTGTGTGTGTGTGTGTGTGTGTGTAATGCCATTGGTAAGCCAGCAGTGGCAGGGTGCGAAGTTACAGAAAGCAGGGCTGTGCTGCTCAACCCAGACACCTGAAGCCACTCGGAAAGGGGTTAACAATAGCTCAGGGGGCCTAGGGGTGACCGCAAGGACAGCCAAGCATCCCTTACACAGATCCTGACACCCAGCACGAGACCTCACAGATTCCCCAGCAGGGGATGGAGATGGGAAAGGGTAGGACAGAAATGACTCGGCTGAAGCCAGAAACGCGGCTCAGGGAGGGCTCCCATTCCCACAGGCGCGAGGGGCGCCACTGAAAGTCTGTGGGTTCATGGGCTTAACCGGGCTACTACAAATGGACTTGAGCGAGACCCCGGTGCTCAGAGTCCACATCAGGTACAGAGGAGACGGGGGTGGGGGGTTACTTGAAAGGAGCGAGAGACTTGGGCCAGAGGGATGGCCACTGCAGAAAACGAGGGACATGTCCCTCTCAGGATGAAAAGGACCTGGTAGGCCGGCTACACAGTCTCACAACAACCGTCAAGCATTTCTGCAAGATGCACATTCCCAGGCTGTGCCCCAGCAGGGCTAGGGGACCCTTTAAATGTTGCCTGTCAGCTGTATGTGACAGTGCCCAGGAAAAAAAAGTCTGTTTTCCACTCCTGCCCGTACCCAAGGATCAGAGACTGAAACACGCAGTGCTCAGCCTGGCAGACGGAGGGAGTATGGCAGGGACTCTGGCCCGCCTGCCCCTCCAGACCCACAACCGTGTTTAGGAAAAACGGGGAGGGTGTAGAATCACACTAGCGTGAACCCACTTGGATGGATTGATGTTTTATTCATGCTGTTTCCAGGAAGGGATGTCAGAGCTGGACCAGTCTAAACCCTCATAGGCTTTTCAATCGGCCGTTGGGGATCCGACAGCCTGTTTACGGGTCCTCAATGTCAAGAAACTCCTGCTTGGGGGGTGCCGCCCCGCGGTACCACGCGCAAGAGCCATCGCTTCTCTTGATGCAGGCAAAGAACTTGGCCTGGTGCCCGTTGATGCTCTTCTCCGTGACCCAGTCCATCCAGAGGCACTCGTCCGGGGAGGAGATGTAGCATGGGATCATGGGGCAGCGTGTGATCTGGGGGACACATGCAGGCAGATTTAGTTGGGACCAAGGAGCAGTTAGGGCCAAGGATACTTGATGCATCTCCAGGACACAACCTGTTGAAGGTGTTCAGGGACGGCAGTCCCACTGAGTCCTGGGTCCCCACACTCTAGCCTGGAGGAAACTTGTGTATACACTGACCTCTGCACCCACCTATTCATGTAACCCTGGTGTGACAGGTGCACTTCTGCTTTGGGCCATCTGGTCTACCTTTTTTTTTTTAAGGGAGAGTTTTCAGTTTAGGCTCTTCTGTAGTTACAGCTACCATGTGGGACTCACACTGGAGACAGATTACAGCCAAATAAGAACTCCCGGGCTTGTTCAAAATCACCTGCTTTGGTCAATGGGTCAGTAACTTTCTGACAAAAGATTATGTGTCCACTTCTGGCCATACAGAGATGAAGAAAGAGAGCTCGGTTTTTTGTTTGTTCTTGAGACAGAGTCTCATGTATCCGAGGCTGGCCTAGAAATTTCTATGTAGCATAGGACAACCTTAGACTTGTGATCACCTACTCCCACCTCCTGAATGCTGAGATTACACACCTGTATATGGTGCATCGTGTGAGCCAGCAAGAACTCTATCAGCTGAGTCACTTTCCAGCCTGGTTTTCCTTGTTTCCTAAGACGGAATCTCACTCTATAGCTCAGGCTGGCAAGGACCTCACTCTACAGCACAGGTTGATTTCAAACTCAGCAACCCTCCTGTCTCACGCTCCCAAGTGTGGTGTATAAGCATGCCCAACTAGAGTTTGCTTTGATGTGCCAAGCACAGAGGAGCCACGCTTGGCCTGTATTTGGCTGGACACCTGGGTATGGGATGATGCTTTGATAACCGAGTTATGGGGAGCACCAGTCAGAAGGGGAGGAGGCATCATGAAAGAATGTCAGTCAGCACAGGACTCAGCTGGCAACTCTCAGCCCCAGGCCCACTCCTGGTAATATGAAGGAATGCTGGCTACCCAGTACTGGTGAGGGAAAAGGCATCAGGCCACGGTCATGGTTGAGGTGACACAATCCCCAAATCTGGGAATAGATCTCACTCTTTTCTGTCACATCTAGAGATGAGTGTATCTACAACCCTGCTTGTGACCACCTCTGGGCTGACTCACGGAGACCGGTGCACAGAAGTCTAGAATGTTGGGAGCAGTACCTAGGCTCTTGAACACACAATGGTTACACCTATACATGGGTAGGGAAATATTTAGAGGACCATGTTCTCCCCACAAAATCCCCTTTCCTGGGAGCTTTTCTCCTTAGAAAGCTGACAGTCATGTGGATTGATTGATGTGCTTTGTCCCACTCCCATATCTCTGTATCTTCCAAATATTCCTTGACAAGGACACAACTCAAGGTTCTCTGGGGATCTGGGACCAAAGGCTTTGTTTCTAGCTAGACAGTCTCACTTCCTTATCTTCCCAGAGTTCATTCCAAAATCAGGACTCACTGTCCCGAGGGTCTGGGGAGCCAAGGACGTGTCCCCAGCTTTTCACCTGGAGACTCTGTGATGGCAAAGTCGGGGCGGGGTGGGGGGAATGAGGACACAGGTCCTGCTCACCTTGCACTCGCAGCCCATCTGGTACCTGTGGTTCAGGCTCTTCTTCTGGGTGGTGCTCAGCGTGTCCCAGGGCACAATGAAGTCACAGAGGGTAATGTGCATCTTGCCGTCTCCTTCTGCCTTTCCTGTGGGGAGAGTCACCAGGCTCAGTGAGAGTCTCCTCCTTCTGCCTTCCTCCAGCATCTGGGTGCAGCTCTGGGTTTTGAGGGTGAGCTCTGACAATACCATGGTTGGACTACTCTGAGTTTTAAAATAACTCATGTTGGGGCTAGAGAGATGGCCAGTGGTTAAGAGTGTTTGCTGATCTTCCTCCAGAGGACCGAAGTTCAGTTCTGAGTACCTGTGTCATGCAGATTACAAAACTGCCTGTAACTCCAGCTTCCGGGGATGATGCCCTCATCTAGCCTCTGTGGGCACTGTACCCCTAGCATATATCCCCCCCTCATGTAAAATAAAACAAAACACGCTCCCAATATTTTGGTTATTTGAGACAGGGTTTCTCTACGCAATAGCCCTTGACTGTCTTGGAACTCATTTTGTAGACCACACTGGCCTTACATTCACTGAGATCCATCTGCCTCTGCCTCTCGAGTGCTGGGATTAAAGGCATGCATCAATTTTTAAAAAATGCATGTTTGATCCTGTTATGGTGAGGTACAAAGAGGTAAAGGCAGGTGAATCATGAGTTGAAGGACAGCCTTGGCTACACAGTCAGTTTGAGGCCAGCCTGGGCTATATAAATCCCTGTCTGGGGAAAAAAAAACAAAAGGAGGGAAAATGCATGTTTATGATGGCTAGCTTAAACTGTAACTTGACATAACCTAGAATCACTATAATCACTTGGGAAGACAGTCTCAATGAAGGCTTGTCTGCCTTGGGTTGGCAGGTGGATATGTCTGTGGGTAACTGTCTTACTTAATCCATGTGGAAAGACCCAGCCCACTGTGGGTGGCACCATTCCCTAGGCAGGTGTCCTGAACTATGTAGGGGTGGAGACATTGAACTGAACACAAGCAACCAAGCAGGTAAGCATTCATGCACTTATGTCCTCTCTGCTCTTTTTTTTATGGTTTTCCAAGACAGGGTTTCTCTGTGTGGCTTTGGAGGCTGTCAAGGCACTCGCTCTGTAAACCAGGCTGGCCTCAAACGCACAGAGATCCGCCTGTCTCTGCCTCCCGAGTGCTAGGATTAAAGGCGTGTGCCACCACCGCCCGGCTTCCTCTCTGCTCTTGAGTAGCTACTTCAAGTTGCTGTCTTGACTTCCCCATATTGAGAGACTACAACCTTGAACCACGAGTTCCAGGAAATCCTTTCTCTTCCAAGTTGCTTTTTCATCAGGGCATTTTGTCACAGAAACACGAATAAAATTAAAATAATTCTCAGTGTGGAATATTTAGGAGTGCAACAATGAAGGGAAAGGGGATTCCCCCTCCCTTATCTGCAGCTGCCACACCCCTCCATGTGGGAGACCACGCCTGGCTGTTTACACAAGTGCTGGGATCCGAACTCAGGTCCTCATGGTTGCAAAGCAATCACTGTTAACCACTGAGTCATCTCTCTGGCCCCAAACCAAAGTACACTATATGTATGTATGACAATGTCACAATGATTCTTATCTAAATATTTATTGCATGTATGCTGTTTATGTGTGTGAGAGCACTCCTACATATCACAGCACGCATGTGGGAGTCGGCACAACTTGTCTTCTCTTTCCTTCTACCTTTATGAGGGTCCAGGGGTTGAACAAATGTCATCAGACTTCTTAAGCAAGTGCCCTTACTGGCTGAGCCATCTTGAAGGCCTGCTATTATTTGTATAATTAGTGAACACTAATAATAAAAAAAAGAAACCCATTTAGCATAATCACACTTGGTTGGGCTCACATGGCATAATCATCTGTTGCAACATTTTAACTTGGGAAAACGCAAAGCATGGGTCTTGGGCACAGCAGAACAGAAGCTGAGTAAAATGTGTAGCTAGTGGTTATATGTTTCCTTTCAGGAGAGAGAAACTTAAAAGACAATTAAAGGGAGAGATCTACACAGGTTCACACGTGAATCTGAACTATCAGCCTGGGAAGAAGAGGCATCCATCGCCAGCTGGCTGGGCAATTGCTGGGTCATGTGATTTCCGGGAGACCCTGGCTCTAAAGAACTGGAAACAGGCTCTGTGCTGTGGGCAGTAAAGGCTCATCCGACCTGGAGTTACCTGACCAAGCCCCAAGAGAGAAAGGTTAGAGGGGTTTCGTGGACAGTGTGCTTCATGCCTGGTCCATCTCCCAAGAGAAGAATGAGGTGTGTGCCCTGATTGGCAGAGCAGCTGACTTATGGGCAGGCAAAGACTGTCCTCAAGGAAAGACCAGAAAGGGCACAGAAAAACATCTCTGGTTGTCCTAAGCAGCATACTGGCATCGTGAATATTCTAATGGCGCGCATGTGTGTATGGTATAATCATGCATACATGTTCATATGTGTTTGTATATGTGGTATATGCATGAGTGTGCATGATGTAAGCATGCATATATGTTTACATGTGTTTGTATATGTAGTATGTGTGTGTGGTATAAACATGTATACCTATTCATATGTGTTTGTGTATGTGGTATATGCATGTGTGTGGTATAAGCATGTGTACATATTCGTGTGTGTTTGGATTTGTGTGTGTGTGTGTGTGTGTGTGTAGGCTGGAGGTCCGTGTTGGATGTGTTCCCCAATAGCTCACCGTCTTATTTTTGAGCCAAGGTCTCTCACTGAACTTAGTTACCAATTCAGTGAGCTCTAGGAATCCCCGTCTCTAGGGTTATAGCCTCGTGCTGTCATGCCTAGCTTTCACGGGGCGGGGGGGGGGCGCTAGGGATCGAACTTAAACACTTTACCCATGAGCCCATCTACCCAGTGCCCGGTCCCCTGAGGGTGACTTTCTACTGGGGTCGCTGCAGACCCTTCTCACTTGTCCTGCTCATAACCCAGACCCCACACTACGCACTAGCTCCCATTCTGTGTGGCACACAGGCACCTGCTGCCTGGCACTTATGAAACACAGTTATTTGTGAGCACGGAGCAGGCCCTAATAAAGGTGCCAGCGTCTCTCTGTCATCTCTTACTTCCGAATGACAACAACTGCCCCACCACAGCATCTGGGAGGCTCTGACAGTTTGGGTCACCCGGCCAAGGATACTGGGCCTGTCAGGTGTTGGCCACCAGTCCAAACCCAAACAGGTGTGCTCTCAGAGGTAACACCTGGGCACGCATGGACCACCCGCTGGCCTGTTCTCTTTGCGCAGAACAGAGGGACTTCTTTGCATCTTTAGCTGCCCTCCGTCAAGCCAATGAGATAGCTCAGTGTATAAAGAAGGCACTTGCTGCCAAACCTGTCAACCTGAGTTCAATCCTCATTGTAGGAGAGTGCCGACTCCCTCAAACTGTCCTCTGGCTTCCACTCATAGGCCATCGTACGTGTGCATGTGTACATATATGCATATGTGTGTATAAAAATAGGAAATCACTTGTCCGATTCAAGGGAAAAGAATATCACATTAAAAATTTTCACATATCTGAATGGGGGGTGGTTGAGTATAAAACTCAGTATTACAGCCCCGGCATAGCATGTCTAAGGCCTTGGAGGTAATTCTTATACCTGCTATAACATGAGCAGATCCTGACAGCATGCTCAGTAAAACAGACCACCACAAAAGCACATCTACATTGCTACAACCGTGAGTTCCCTAGAATAGGCAAGGTCACAGAAAGTGAAAGTAGAAGGTGGGGGGCAGGGCCCAGGGAAAGACAAGGAGTGAGATGCTCTTGGCCAGTGGGCAGAGACGCAGTTTGGGAAGACGACACAGTCCTGGAACAGATAGCAATAGTTATGTGCTATTGTAACTATGTTTAGTGCCACTGTATCCTATGCTCAGGCATAGATACAAAGGCAATGCTACAATATGTGTCTTCTGCAGGCTTTATTAGATTTATCTATTTTGTGTGTGTATAGGTGAGTGGATTCACTATAAGTATAGGTGTGCACGCGTAGAGGTCAGAGGAAAACTTAGTGTCGTTTTTTCTTCTTCTATCATGTAGATTCTGGGGATCAAACTCAGGTCGCCAGGCTTAGTGGCCATTGCCTTTACCCACTGAGCTATCTAGCTGGCTTAAATACAGCAGAAGGTTTGCGGGGTTTTGTTTCTCAAGACAAGGACTCACTGTGCAGGCTCACAGAGATCCGCTTGCCTCTGCCTCCCAAGTGCTGGGATTAAAGACATGCACCACCATGCCCGACTACACTAGTGCAGCTTTTAGAACAACATGCGGCATTTTCAAGCGTGTCTTTTATCGATGTTATGATCTGGGGCCGGTTAGGGGACTAAAATGTGCGCATATGTCTGGGGCAGTGTGCGTGTGACGCAGTCTCAGTGACAGGCACGCGACACTTTCAGTCTGCATTACACCTGGAGCTACAGTGGAGCCCGGTCTCAGCAGGCCTAGGAAACTCGCGCTGTGCTCTTTGTGAGATTTTCTCTTAGACAGAGGAGGAGCGGCCACAAACGGGTGTGGTAGGGACAGTTCAAAGCAGATGGCGCATGTGGGAAACCTCTGATGGCCGATGTGGAAGACAGGGATTCGGCGAGACAGAAACCGATGCCCACATACACAGTCACTGAAGCAATCTGGCCTCCCGTGTGGACCGACTCCCCAGGCTTTGTGTGAACCCTCACTTGTGCAGAAGACGGGTAAAGCCAGAGAGAACGCCCTAAGGTGCCCCCGAGTGTACAAAAGAGAGCAGCTCAGCACACTGCTGCCCTGTAGGAATCCACTCTCTCCTCTGCTCAGGCATCCACAGCCCCCTCGTAGTATCAGGGCAGCCTGGGGCAGGAGTTCCAGCCTGGTTGTAGCAGTCACTGTGTGTCAGGGCTCCTGATAGCAAGACAAGGCTTACCTATTTGTAAATTGCCTGCCCAGAGGCCCCTTATTGGTCTGGCGGGCTGGTTTCCATTGCATGGGACAGAAAGCAGTGTCCAAGTGGTGAGCAGGACTGACTGACAGGTCTGGCCCCAGGGGGTGGGAAATAGAGTCCACGTGCATGGTTACCGAGGCATATCCCTCCCAGTGGGCACTAACCAGTTATTGGCAACTTCTGGCCTTTGTCAGGGAAGGTTCTGGTTAGAAACTGTCTGTCAGCCCTGATCAGACACGGACTCACCAGAGGACAGACTCCGGCCCTAGATTCTCCTTGACTAGCACTAGATACAGCCTGGGCATCTGGTGGGGTGCCAGCAGGAATGCCTCAGGGCTTGGCTGGGGAATCTCTGTCTCCTGGCAGCAGCTGATGATTTCCGTACCAGAAATGCCCACACTCTGGCTGCCAAGATGACACCAGTGAGCTCATGAGAAACAGAGCCACCAGCTCTTGCCAGGTGTTCCAAGTGGACCCCATGTTAATCACTGTGCCTGAGGCAAACCTTCGTCTGTACTGGGGGATCACGGGAACGCCTTTATAAGAGGAAGGGAGAGGGTTTGTGCAATCTCTGTAGAAAGACACGGGAAATGACTACCTCCCAGCCAGTGCCCGGGGAGGGAGCTACTGCTGAACTTCCCAGGACTGTGGCCCGCTGGAGAGACCACTAGTACAGACAGTTTTGGCGTAGGCTAGGACCTGGGGGTGTCTCTGGAAGTAGGTGCTGGTCAGACAAAGGCTGTTTCACCTTCTCCAGGACATGGGCTATCAGCCGTTCCTGTGCCAGTGCAGGTGGGCTGGTTCGCCCCTAGAGGGCAGTGTGGGAAGCTTGTTCCTTACAGACGAGATAACAGGAAGGCAGAGAAATTCTGTTAGGGCACCATGACCCAAGCTCCTACACACCTGCAATTAGATACTCCTTCTTTCCTCCAACGTCCAGCGAGACCCCGCACACTGCCGAGGAGGGGGCCGTGTAGATGAACTCGATGTCTTTGTCAGGGCCTTTGAACATCTGCAAAACACAGTGGGGCAGGAATCAGTTGTCATGGGTTCCCAACCAGAGCATGATGGGAGCAGGGGTACACAGCTGCACCCAGGTGCACAGAAGGTAAACAGGTGTGTCACGGGGACCCAAAAGCCACCACTGCATCCGAGTGGGGCTGCAGGCAGGTCTCAGTTGGCGAACACAGCCTGCCATCTGCAGGAGGCTTTGTCCAAGGTCATTTCTGAGCACAAGGTCATCACGTCCAAACCTCCCTATAAATTCTAGAGATTCTCACTTGCCACAGAGGTCACATCTCTGACTTCTTCCCAGGAACTGGGTTCGTTTGCCTGCTTTAAAAACAAAACAAACCAGGGCTACACAGAGTAACCCTGTCTTGAAAAACAAAACAACATAAAACAAACAAACCAAAGTGTGTGTGTGTGCGTGTGTGTGTGTGTGGGGGGGTTGTCTTTAATCCCAGCACTCAGGAATCAGAGGCAATCAGAGCTCTATAATAAATTCCAGGACAACCAATGCTACACAGAGAACCCTGTCTCCAAAAAACTAAAAACAATAAAAAAACCCACAAAAATAACAACAAAAAAGATTTTTTAAATCTTTTTTTCTTTTCTTTTCTTTTGATCTCTTTTCCCCTTTCCCCCATCCCTGTCTTTTGGGTCAAACGTAACTCTACTTCCAGAATTTTTTTTTCTTTCTGAGACTAAAGTCTCACTTTGTAGCCAGGCCTAGACTCGAACTCTCCATTCATTCTCTTTGCCTCAGCCAGGATGCTGGGTTTATAGGGCTGTACTGCATCAGGCTGTTTATTTCCAGGGATTTCGGTGAGGCACTGGCTACCTGGTGATAACAAGGGGAGAAAGGCCACCCCCTGGAGCCAGACCGTTGCCTCAGGCTCAGGGAGGGCTTCATTCTCAGCGTCTGACTCGTGTGAGCTCTTCAGGGGTGGACCTACTGCCCTTCAGAGAAAGACATCTAGATGTGTGTGGGGGGTTCGCCCCCTCCCCCCTTCTTACTTACACCCTTCCTAACACCCCCAGAGAGAGGCTTTTCATTTGTCTTTTCCTCACTTCCGTGGCGTGTTTGTGCCTGTGTGTCTGCTACGGTATGTGTGAGGGACCCCCCCCCCAGAGGCCAGATCCCCTCAGGCTGGGCCTGCAGGAGTTGTGAGCTGCCTGACGTGGGCGCTGGGGCCCAAATTCTGGACCAGCAGCCAGTGCCCTTACCCACTGAGCCCTCAGGCTCCAGTCCCTCTTTCTCCAGGATGAAACAGCTTTGGGGAGCTTAGTTCTAACCCTGCAGGAAGGAAGGTTGCCAGGGCAACGGTCTCCTTATGCATCTCGAATGATGCCAAGGGGTCAGAGTCACTTCCCAGCATGAAGCCACGAGGACGCTATGAGGTTACAAAGGCCCAGCTGCTTCTCTGCTCAGGAAGAGGCTTTGGTATTGAGAGGTTAAGCCGTTCAGTTGAGGTGACACATGTGATGAGGACGGGGTTGGCTCCTCTGGCCTGTTGATAATATGTATTTTCAATTTTGGTAAATAAGGATGGCCACAGCCACGACTGTGTGACAAAGCTGTCCCTAACCCTGGAGGAGCCAGCTGTGTTTCTTCGAACACCAAGTTAGTAAATGTCAACTGTCAGAGAGCATGTAACCACCCTACTTAGTTTTGCAATTCCAGGGATCAAACTCGGGGCTTCGTGTGTGCTAGGCAAGCATGCTACCAACTGAGCCACATCCCCTGCCTCTCCCCTAACACTCCTCCCTCTCTCTCTGTCTCTCTCTCTCTCTCTGTCTCTCTCTCTCTCTCCTCTCTGTGTGTGTGTGTGTCTGTCTGTCTCTCTGTGCCACTCTCTGTGTCTGTCTCTCTCTGTCTCTCTCTCTATCACTCTGTCTCTGTGTCTCTCTGTCTCTCTCTGTCTGTCTCTGTCTCTCTCTGTCTCTCTCTGTCTCTCTGTCTCTCTCTGCCTGTCTCTCTGTCACTCTGTGTCTCTGTCTCTGACTCTGTTTCTCTCTATCTCTGTGTCTCTGTCTCTCTCTGTCTCTCTGTGTCACTCTCTGTGTCTCTGTCTCTCTCTGTCTCTCTTTATCTCTGTGTCTCTGTCTCTGTCTCTCTCTGTCTCTGCCTCTCTCAAACACTGGCTTCTTCTCATTTGTCCCTGACATGCTAAGTGCTCTAAAAACACTAGCAGACACCACCACAGCCACTACTGCTGCCACCTGCAGTTCCCCCGACCACAGCCCTGTCCACCCAGTAAATGGCCCATCACAGTCAGGAAGCTGCCCCCGGGTACAACTGACTGCCGTACTCATCCTCTTATGATGTGCTACTCACTGCTTAATCACCCGGTAAGATCAAGCTAGGCTGTTTCTGGAATCAGGGTGACATGGTAGTTTGAATAAGAATGGGCCCATGGGGTCAAACATGCAAATGCCTGGTCCCCCAGTAGGTGGAACTGTGTGGGAAGGATGAGGGGGTGTGGCTTTGTTGAAGGAGGTGCGTCACTGGGTTTCAAAAGCCCATGCCACGCCCAATGTCTCTCCTATTCCACCTGCTGCCTTTGGGTCGGGATGCAAACCCCCCAGCTGCTGTTTCAGCACCGTGCCCGCCTGCGTCCCACCACGACGACCATGGACTCAACCTCTGAAGCTGTAAGCCAGCCCCCGTTTAATATGCTGTCCTTTACAAGAGTTGCCTTGGTCCCCGTGTCACATCCCAGCCTAGGACAGTGACGTGTCTGCCAGCCCTTCGTGTTCTTGTGGCTTAAGGAGAGCTGGGCTTCTTCGTGGCTTCACAGCTCAGCTTTCTGGCTGACGGTGGTGGCTGGCGGGGGCGTTCCAGGGCCCCCCCTGCTTCCCCCACCAAACCAGGGACTACCTTTATCTGCTTGATCTCATACTGAATCCTCTTGATGGGGTTGCCGTAGATGTCATTCCCGGAGTCCACCTCCTTCTCGCTCACCGCTTTGGCCCTGATCACTGTGAAACACAGAGACACGGATGAGGAGAGCCCGGGAGGACCAGGATTCATGCTCTGCCCAGGGGGAGGAGGGTGCCCCTCCCTATGGGAGGTTCTAGGAGAGGTGGGCCTATTGCCCACCGGCTGTAACCAAAGGGGGTCAGAGGAGTCTGGCTGGCACAAGGAAGGACAGGAGGCTCTGCAGCTTGTGGCCCTGGGACGTGGCTCAATCGGTAGAGGGCCTGATTATGGTGCACAAGGACCCGTGTTCAGTCTCTAGTGCCCGGCACCATGTAAAAGTGGGCACAGGCGCACACACCTTTCACCCCAGTCCTCGGGACACAGAGTCAGAGGGTCAGGACTTCAAGGACAGCCTGGGTTAATAAAACCCCGTCTCACCACGTGGTGTGGTGGTGGGACACACCTCTAATCCCACCCAGCACTTGGGTGGATCTCTGAGTTCGAGGCCAGCCTGGTCTACAGAGTGACTTTCAGGACAGAGAGAAACCCCGTCTTGGAAACAAAACAAAACAAAACCAAAACAACAACCACAAACCTGACTCAAAAGACAAAATCAGAAACCAAAAAGCTGGGTGTGGTGGTGCACATCTTTTAACCCCACCACTCGGGAGGCAGAGGTAGGTAGATCTCTGTGAGTTCAAGGTCAGTCTGGTCTACAAGGGCTACAAAGTGAGACCATGTCCCAAACAAAACCCAAACCAATATATATCCCAAATGTTGTTGTTGACCTGGGCCTCAGGCGGCTCTGCCCAGCAGCAGCTGTGGCCAGCCAGGTTCTTCCTGCCTATTGGTGACTAGAGAAACAGTGAACAAATGGCCTAGCGCTCCATCCTGCTCCTGCAGGTAGGGCTGGCGGAGAGGTGACTCCGACGCACCAGCACCTCATCCTCAAAGAGACTCTGGGGGCTCGAGCAGATGGGCAGCCATCCACCGTAAAGGAGCCTGGTTATTCAGATCCGGGGTCTCCACTGGGGGAACTGGAGCACAGCTCAGAGCACAGCACTCGCCTTGCATCCAAGAGGCCCAGAGATCCCTCTCTAGAAGTTTCCACGTGAGATGTCCTACGGGACACGCATGTGAAGGTCAGAGCATCGTGTGAACATCACGTATCATTTCTCAGGTGCCACCTGCCTTGGTTTCTTTTCTTTTTTTCATTTTTTATTTATTGGGCGTGGGCAGGGCTTGCGCGCTGCCTGATACAGCCAGCGTGTCCAAGTCAGAGGACAACTTGCGGGAGTCGAGTCTCTCCACCCGTGTGGGTTCCAGGGATGGAACCGAGGTGGGCAGGCTCTGTGGCAAGAGCACCTTCACACATAGAATCCCGTCACCGAGTCTCCACCTTATTTTTTTGAGACAGGATAGCTCACTGGCCCGGAGCTCACCAGCTGGCTTGCCAGAAAGCCTCTGGGTTCAACTGTGTCTTCCTTCCCAGGGCTGGGATAATAAGCGCAGGCCACCACCCATGGCTCTGTGGGACACTCTTCAAAGTGACACGTCTTCTATGAGGAGTATGACAGACGTGGAGTTGGAAAGCATATTATGCAGGCTATGGATCTGGTCAGCAACGCTAGCGTGGCTGTCAGGCCTTAGGCACAGATGGTAAGGGGGCAGGGCATGTTCGAAGACTATCTACGACAACAATCAAAGGAATCGATGGGAAGGGATAGACCAGGAAAAGTTCCAGAATGTTCTGGAGCCTGGTTGTGCCTAACATGGGCCTCCTATCAGTAATTAAGCCCCTGGGCCCTCCCTGGAAACCCTACCACCAGAGCTCAGCAGATCCTCCCACGGGCGGTGGGGGGGGCGCTCCTTTTCATTACTTGGAGGTCATTAGCTGGGCCAGGGTCTGTTTTAATGGCTTTAAAAAGCTTCGCCCTTCTCAAGGCAGTGGCACAGGGTCACTCTGGGCACGCATTCTGTCTGTCAACTGCATACACGAGCCAGATGGAGACGAGGGAGCAGACAGTGCCGGCTCATAGTCTCCAGCGGTCAACTTGAGTCTTGGAAACTTCTGGCCAGGACTGTTTCCCACAGAGGCAGGGAGGTCCAGGCACGTGGTAGTGCCATCTGTTCCTCAGACCCCGGCAATGCACTCTGGATCCCTCTCACACCACAGCCCAGGCCCCGCCCTGCTCCGAGGCCCTTTTACATGGGTCCTTCTGTGCGGCTGAGTCACCACCGCTGGGCTGACCACGGGTTCCTGTTTCCCAGCCCGAAGCAGGCCTTGCTTCAGACAGCTACGACCTGGTAAAAGCTACCTGGCAGAGCTACTCCAGATCACAGGGCTCTACTCTTGGTTCTGTGCCTCACCCACACGCGAAGTGCAAAATGCTCTCACTTGAAATTCAAGCCAGGACTGGTGGAGCACACCTTTAATCTAAGCACCGGGAAGGCAGAAGCAGGAGGAGCTCTGAGTCTGAGACCAACCCGAATGGTCTATAGAGTCAGTCAGGGCTATACCTGCAATCCCATTTGTCCCTTGTCCTTTCCTAATCCATCCTGTTCCCTGTCCCCCCACACGCTGGGATATGTCCCGTCTCTGGACAGGAAAGCTCTTCTACCAAACATGTCACCTCCAGGTCCCTGCCCGGAGAGCTTCTGTTCAGCCTTGAGAAACAGCATGCTGTTTTCTTCCTGCAGCGCTGGGCGTGTTGCTCATCTCTCGCACACTCTGCTGTGAATGTCTGTCCACCTGTCTGCTGAGAGGTCGTGACAAGTAGAGGCCGTGCTACAGAAAGACCAGGGGCTCAGAAAGCAGCTACCAGATGGAACCGGGTTGACAGCACAGACGCGCCGACGCTCCGGTCCTTGGTCCCTCCTGTGTAATCTATACGACGATCATTGCAGTGGTTTGTACAAATGTATAAGCATGCCATGTGTGTGTTCTTTGAATATCACTGTCACCTGCTCAGAAACAAGAGGGGACAGGGGTTCCAAAGGAATGGTCCCTCTCCCTCTACCGGCCTAGGGAACTTGCCAGTCTTGCTCCTCAGTAGTGGCCCACTAGACAGCACAATTCTCTCTTTTTAAAAAAATTATTTATTATGAATAATCCTGTCTCCATGTCTGTCTGCAAGCCAGAAGAGGACACCAAAGATTTCATTACAGATGGCTGTGAGCCACCATGTGGTTGCTAGGAATTGAACTCAGGATCTCTGAAAGAGCAGTCAGTGCTCTTAGCCTCTGAGCCATCTCTCCAACCCCCACAATTCTCTCTTTTAACATTTTTTAATGATTTATTTTTATTTCCTGTGCATTGGTGTTTCCCTGCATGTATGTCTGTGTGTGAGGGTGTCAGATTTCCTGGAAGTTATAGACAGTTGTGAGCTGCCATGTGGGTGCTGGGAATTGAACCCGGGTCCTCTGGAAGAGCAGCCAGTGCTCTTAACCGCCGAGCCATCTCTCCAGCCCCCTGTAAGGCACAATTCTTAACGCTCCAATGTGTTCGCTAGGTGCTGGGACTACAGCTCAGCTGGCGGAGGGCTTATGTAGCAACCATGAAGTCCTTAGCTTAAGTCCCAACGCATACAGCTGGACATGGCACCTGTCTGGAATCTCAGCATTCCCTTAAACTATTACGGGGTTTGAGGCTAGCCTGAGCTACTTGAGACCATGTCCCAAACACAAAACAACAACGAAAAGTTCAATAAAATGCACCACCCACCTGGCAATCAGAAAATAAGCCCAGTGACTTCCAAATTCTCTCCCCTGGCACTGAGGACCCCAATACTACTGTCTTATGGAAGCCCCCAAGTTCCCACACATGCCTGAGTCCCTGACACCTGTGTGTCAAAGATGCTGTGGAGAGGAGCGCTAACCACTGCGGTCATCGGAGATCACGTGATTGCACATCTAAGATGTCATCACACGGTGTCGTAAGGCGATGGGGTTGGGGTTAGTGAGGCCTGGAAGGGGGCACCAGAGCAAGGGACACGTCGTGGGAGAGTGAGCAGGGCAGATTTCCCCACCCCGACACGACAAGGGTCCGGAAAGCCAGGCCTGGTCCAGTGGCTCAGCTGTGTGCTCGCTTGGCCTCAGGCCTGTGGGCCATGTGCTTTCTTTTTTTTTGAAATTTTCAGGAGAGAAGAGACGGTGGTTTTCAGACTAGGAAGTTAACTGGGGGGGAAGGGTCAGGGATGTTTGTAGGGAGTGGGGGCGGGGGTGATAGACGTCTCCATTGACAACCAGGCTGCTCCTGGCCCTCACAGGGACCGCAGGCTGCAGAGTCTTTAGAGCAGAAGCCTGGATGGTTTCCTCTCCGAGAGACGAGAGGACCACCACTGTTGGCTGCAGCAGACGCCTGCCTTGGCTGTCACTGTCCCTTGGCGAGATCGGTGGGTGGAGAAGGGGAAGGAGGACATATCGCCAGTAAGAGCTTCCACAGGCCCAGCCTTAGAAGGACGTCTGACAACGGGGGTGGGGGTTGGGGGGAGATGGGAAAGGAGAGTAAATAAAGAATTCTCTAGAAGCATAACCCCACACACAGCCGCGGTCATCACTGTGACCTCCAGGGTGACCGACCTTGAGGGCTACAGAGGAAAATAGGCCATGTCACAGAATGGATAGCCTCCCTTTGTCCCAGACCACCCGAAGTACAGGGAAATTCAGACTCAAAAGAATTTGGGATGAACCAGGAGCAAGGCGTGAACTTGCAGGCTAGGCTGGGGGCAGACACCAGGGTAGGGTCAGCCACATCAGGCCCCGTTCCACTACCTATCTAAGGAGCTGGACAAGGCAGCAGGGGACTCCTGCTTAACTGTTTTGTTGACCCCCGCCCCCCCACGCTCCCCACGCAGCTCAAAATGTGCTTTTTCTGTTGGGCGTTGGTGGCGCACGCCTTTAATCCCAGCACTCGGGAGGCAGAGACAGGAGGATCTCTGTGAGTTCGAGGCCAGCCTGGTCTGCAGAGTGAGTTCCAGGGCAGCCTCCAAAACAATACAGAGAAACCCTGTCTCGAAAAAAAATTTTTTTGCTTTTTCCTCTTTTCCTTTTGCTAACC